AAAGAATAAATCAAAAAAAAATATATATATTTTTAAAAAGAGGGTAACGAAGTTAGGAAAGTTAAAAAAAATTTTTTTTTAAAAGAGACGACGTCAAAGTTAGAAAAATAAAAAATTTTTTATAAAGAGGAAATAGAAATAGAAAGAAGAAAATTTTTTTTTAAAAAAAAAGAAGAGTGGGAATAAAAGAATAAATCAAAAAAAATTTTTTTTTTAAGGGAGTGACGAAAAAAAATTTTTTTTTTAAAGGAGAGTGATGAAAAAAAATTTTTAAAGTGAGGTACAAAAAAAAAATTTTTTTTTTAAAAGGAGGGTGACGAAAAAAGAAGAAAAATTTAGAAAAAAAATAACAAAAATAAGACAAGAGAAAAAGAGAAGGAAGGGAAGACAGAAAGGAAGATCGGAAGATCAAACTCATCAAAGTAAGGGTTTATATAAAAAACAAAAAACAAACAATAAATAATCACATGATCTCGTGTTATGATACGAGATTTTTGTAAAATTATTTTCTAAAAATATTAAGTTTAAAAATTCCGTATACATTCCGTATGATTGTTTTTTTCCATATACACTTCATATACATTAGTTTTTTTAAAAATGTTCAAAAATGAATTGCTTATTAAATATACGGAATTTGTATACGGAATCTATAGAAACGTACATAAAATGTATACAAAACGTATCCTTTCCGTACACATATTTCTTATAGGGAATATACACAAGAAATCATCGTATGAGCACAAACTGTGCAAATTCATATATTACATAACTACCAAGCCTTTTAGCCCTTACATACACTTAAACATATAGCTTACGAAAATTTTTACTTCTCAATAGATAAATCAGTTAAACAAATAGGTACCACCTATTGCACTAGCGGTTACGGCTGGATATAATGTCATTCGTTGACGCCGAACCTAAACTTTCAGCGGCTCGACCGTTTTTTAACTTCATCCACCAAAAGTGAATCTATGGGCATACTAACTGCATTACTCACGGCTTCATACTACTGCACAATCACAATATATACTGGTTCAGCTAGCTGCATCAACATTTTCACACAAAGACAAAAGTCTCCTGTTATCGAAAACTTAATCAACTCAATTTCTCATTCGGGACCTTATCTTTTGGATCATAGAACATAGACAATTACACGTTACCCTCAAGAAAGTCAAAGCGCACAGCAATTTATATTACAATGATATAATAAATGAACTCGCGAACGCCGGATCTATGTCAAAGATCCAATCATCGTTAACTTCAGATTTTTTAATCAATCTTCTTTAGGTTATATTAAATGGAATAACATTTACATTATTGATCAAAACATCGGAAAATGGAGCAACAATGTATTCAACCTCATATATTTAATTCATTACTCAATAACTTTTCTCTGGCCGCCATTGAACAGCTAGACATCGATTGGGAATTCACCAAATTCTGGCTCAATAACAACCCCTACGAGTCCCCCCACCAATCCAAACTTTTACGTGCACGAAGTTCACGCATCGAAAAATGCAATTTCATATATCCAACGGCGAATATTCTTCAGCGTAATTACCCGCGACTATATCCAACAGGATCTGTCCCTTGCTCCACATCCACAGATATTAACGAATACGTAGAACTTTGCCCATCACGCCATGAAAAAATTACAACTATTTTAAATAAATTCAAACCCATTCTGTTCAAACATTCTCAACAATCAGTCACGGGATTAACATTTGATTTACAGCAATGCATAGACAACTCACCCTTTTTCAATGACACTTTTGTCACTTCATTTTCGAAACAACATCCTATTGATCTGCTCATTCACAACTTGGTCCCGCCGAATTGATGGCCCTTTTTTACAATTATATAAGCAAACGTAAAGAACGTTACTTTGCTTTCAATGAATTTATCATTAACATTATGAAAGAAATCAACAATATCACGCACAAAAAGAAATACGTTATTACTCTTACTTTAAACGCGACAAGCGAAAGAAGGCTGCACATACTGAAAGTTTCTCTTATAGCCGCCAAAAAGGTATCCTTTGATGAAACTGCACATATTCGGTGGACCTCTAGCGATTTTTTACATTCGGGATCTTGGGAATCACATAGACAATTTACTTTTTGAAAATATAGACTTATTCAATATGTTTTATGATTTTACTTATTAATTTCACTACTTAATATCACTTAATCAATTTTCGAAATTAATTAATTAATCATGTGATTAATATTGCGATCTTGTAGTACACTTAGGGCAATGACATATATTAGCTAATATTTTAGGGGGTGGGGGAGTAAAAGAAAATCTTAGGTTACACATAATATAAACCATGTAAAATGGTTGTGATTGGTCATAAAATCTTACCTGGGGGTGGGGGAGTAAATGTTACTATTAAAATAATATTAGCTAATATATGTCACTGCCCTTATTACTTCAAGATTTTCTTTAACCAAATTTAGTTTTATTGAATTGTACAAATTGTACAATATTTTTACGCCATTTAAAATCGAGTTATTATTTTTCGTTCTAAAAACTTTAACAACATTCGATGAACATATAGAATATTTTCGTTTGATAAATGGGAAGCGAATTATTTTGCAAATTGGATCAGTGGGAATGAAAAAATTGATAAATTCATTCAAGAAAAGCAGTTAAGATACGAGAGAAATAATGTATTATTTGAATGGATATACAATGAGTTTATTGGTAAAAAATGGTTCTAAAGCAATATGGAAGAATTGAAGAAAGGTTCATTATGGTGTTATCCCGAAAACAATGCATGGGAAAGAAATTCATACATAGAAGTTTTTTAAAATATTCACATAATTCACAAAATGTTACTGATGAATTTTTAAATGAGGTATTAAATTTTTCTTTGGATTTAGATTGAATATTAGTTTTAGTTAATTCTTTTTTGTAAATTTAATAGGTTAAAACAATAGTGAAAAAAAAATACAAGCTATGGGATTCTCAAAATCCAGTTACTAAAAATTATAATTTTGTTTTTAAAGTTAGACACTTTGATTATTGTGAAAATTTATATGATTATATATGTGATTTAAAAAATAATTTCACCAATTGGATCAGTGGGAATGAAATTATTGATAATTTCATTCAAGAAAAGCAGTCAAAATATAAGGGATATAATACAGAAGTATTTGAATAATTACCATTCAGTAATTTTATTGATATTAAGGAAATAGAGAATAATTGTTTATGCTACTGCAATATGGAAAGAAGGTACATTGAGCTATAGTGAAAAGAAATGGATAAGAAATTCATATGAAAAGTTTGTTAGCAATATCTATATGGATTCACAAAATATTACTGATGAATATAAATAAGGTAATAAGATTTTATACGAATTTAGTTTGAGTATTAGCATGTATATTAATTTTTTTTTTGTATTTTAATAGGTTGAATCATATTTAACAGATAATTGCTGCGGGATATCACAAATCCAGATACAAAAGATTGTATTTTAGTTTAGCCTAGTTTTGTAAGATTATTTTTTACATGATTTATCAACATATTCATTACACATTTTTTACGATATTGAAAATAATAATGATAGGAATAGTGGAAATGAAATAATTGATACATTGTGACACTATCTTAAAAAATGAATTAAGACAAAACGAACTTTATCATTTAAAAATACTAAACCAAAGTATTTTCAAACTATTTTGATTTTTTTGATTATACTAAATTAAACTAGAATTATTCTAATTATTTATCGTGAATTAATTATCCTGGGAACTCCTTTATCTGTAACCTTCTTCCTAAAAACTCTATATCGGCCGGCAATTTACCTTGAGGTTCGTTTCGTTGATTCCTTTCTTCTGTCTTTATGCATTCCAATAGCTTCTATATCGGGATCAACATTCTCATAAAAATATTGTTATGATCCTCCTTTATAGTAGAACTAATGTGATCCTTATCCTCTGTAATTTAGTATCAAACTGCCTTCTATTTCCCTTTTGTTATTAGTCCGAAGTGTAACGAAGGACTATATACTTCTACGACATCATTTCCCGATGTCCGGTAATTCCCAATTATTCTGCTCATCTCAGGAACTGAATCTATGCTTCGTAGAACCACTTCAAACTTTTACTAGATTCCATTTCCCTAGTCATTATTTGTTTTCTTATACTTTCTCCATTATGTAAATGTACAGTAGAGTATCATTACTCGTGGCTTTATCCGCCCAATTAATCTCTAAACATTTCTCCTAACGTTTATTGCTAATTAAATTAATAATTATAAAGCAGATAATTAAAACTAATGAGCAAAATGAAATAGATAATAACGAATGATAAATGATATTAATAATAAATCATAAATAAGCGAATTAGTAATGAAAGAAGTCTTACTGATATAAATTGTTCATATTTATTTAGGATTTTCAATTGTCGTCGTTGAAAGTTGAATTATAGATCTAACAAAATGTTTTTTTAATAATAAATAAGTTTTAAAGAGCTATTATGATGTAAAATTTTTAATTAAAAAATTTTTTAATGCTTTGGATATAAGAATATGCATAATATAATCGAAAAAAATTTACAATAAATTGTTTTCAATTTTGAATAATGAGCAAACAAAAAAGATATTTAGAAGTTGTGAAAAAAAATTATCATATAAGCGTTTTTTTCTGATAACAAGTAACAAATTAACAATGTTTTTTTAAATTATTTTAATCTCTATTATCTCTTGTATGATAATCTGATTATAAATACGTTATGTGCTTTTTTAGAATAAACTCTTATACTTGTCGGTTACAAATTATTATAAAGTGATATAGTTTAACTCTATAAAAAATTTCTTATAAAAAGTCTCGTAAAAAAGATCGTAAAAAAAAAAAAAAATATTTAGCATAGATTTTTATATAATCATATCGGCTGATTGGAAAAATCAAGCCAATTAATATTTAAGCTCAGTTGATGGGTTCATTATATAACTGATGGGTTGCTTATTGTCATTTAGCATATAAAATTATGGAAGGCTTTTCTGATCAGCCGATATGTTAATATTTAACAAAAGAAAATATAGAACAGAATTTACATAAATTTTAATTTATCGTTATTATATTTTAATTATATATTATATATTTTTTTTTATCTCTTTAATTGGTAATCAACAAATTAATATGCCAGGCGCAATTGTCTCTCTTGCATCATACCATCAAGAAAATCCTCCAACTTTTTGAAAAATTAATATCAGCGTAAAAGTACATCAAATCAGATTAGGAAACTTCCGAAAGTTACAGTACAATCAAAAAAAATAAATTCTAGAAGAAATTTATCATATAGTAGCTATCTCCCGAACGGTAATGTGATTAATACGCTAGTGGTTACTCCTAATATTAATGGACAGATTTTGCCGTCTCAAATAAGTCCCGCCAATCTTTTCAAATGTTTGCAATAGTGTGAACGCTTTTAACCCATCTTGTGACCGTTCCTGCCCTCTTACTGGAAATAATCTTTTCATTGTAGGTAATTCACCTCATGTGGTGAATGATATCTATCAAAGTCAAGAATCCTCCTCTACAATGCGTGATTATCATACTGTATTTCGCTCCAACAACAGATACAAAAATGAGTCTATGAGGTATCTGGGTTTTTGAATATATGGTTTCCACTCCTACAAACAGCTATCCCCCGAACAGCAGGTACCTAATGTGATTAGTACACCAGCTGCTACTTCTAATATTAATGAACAGACTTTGCCACCTCAAATAAATCATCTTGATATTCCGCAAATCTCTCTAAATGTATAATTCACCTCATGCTGTAAATGTTGAGGCTCCTGTATTCATTGAGTGTAAAATTCCACAAAATAATTGCAACAATTTTAACATCCTATGTGATTAATAGCGACAATCAAATGGAGTTTCTTCAGCTGGTACATAGTTGAGTTGTTTTTTTATACCTATATCCAGGATTAGTGGTAACGTGAATGATTTATATGAGTAATATAGTGAATTAATAACGACAAATTCACTTGAAATTAAATTATAGTTATTAAGAAAATGCTTAATTTTTTTTATTTTATTTTACAATGATGGTAGTTTAATTTAAGAGCGAATAATTTAATATATAAAATCATAAATATATGTAAACGTCTTACCGTCGTGAATCTATGTATTATTATTATATGTAATAACACCATTATTTCATAAAAATAAAGTCACTTTTTTATGCAATAAGAAATGTAAAAGGAATTTCTTTTTTTTTTTTTAAAAAAAAAATAAAAAAAAATTGGACGGTAACGGTTAAAATTTTTTTTTTATATATGTTACTAGCTGTAACCTGTTGCGTTGCAACAGATAGAATTAAAAGAGTTTAAATCAATATAACAATAAAAAATTTAAATAAGATAAAAATTCATAAAAAAAATATGTATAAAAATAAATGAAAAATTTCAGAAAAAACCGGAATGAAAAATATTAAAAAATATTAAAATTTCGGTTAAAAGGATCCGGTTTACCGAAAAAAGAATAATATTAAAAAAAAAAAGATCCAGTCTAAAAAAGACAAAAAAAAAGATCCGATCTTCAAAAGTGACCAAAAAAAAGGTGGATGATGCGATCGACCGCAGCAGCGATTGAATGTTCATTCCAGAAATCAGCCCATACGCGCAGACGAATCACAATTCAGTAATATTTATGCAGATTAATCTAAACGTTACACATGAATTTTTTTAATTATATAGATTAGCCGTTATAATGCAAAGGTAAATAAGATAATAAATAACTTTATCAGGACACTTTATACTAATCAATTTTTTTTTTTAAAAAAAAAAAAAAAAAAAAAAAAAATATTAATTAGTGAATGTATGTCGGATAAACGCCAAATATTTATTTTCGGTTATAAAAGTCTTTGTTATAGGATGTGTCTTAATTTAGAAAATTGATTATAGGAGGTAAACAAATATTTCTTTAGAATAACATAATATTTGCGTATTTCTTTGACTCTTTCCATAAAAAATACTAAAATTTGATTAACGATAAAAAATATGTCGAAAGTTGATCATTGCTCAATTAATAAAAAATTTTTTTTATGCAGGAGGCGAATAGCCATGCATATTTATTCATGTGTTACAAAATAAAGAAGCTCAATTAACTCTTCACAATAAAAAAAAAATTTTTATGCAATAGGAAATATTAATTCGTAAAGCCAGGCATGTTTGCACATGTGTTTCAAAATAAAAAAAATAGTATATAATCGCAAATGGGACGAGGTAAAAAATAATTTTTTGGTAATAAATTTATATATTTATAAGCGATTACCAAATGGATGACATTTCAATAAAAATTAACGATGATGTTAACAAAATCGAAATCGATGTTGATAAAATCGATGTTGATAAAAATGATGATAAGATATTTACTTTAAATGATATCAATGATGAACCACATAATGGTAAACTTATTACTATGATAGAAATATCACCAAATGAAAAATACCTTATTACTTATAGTGAAGAAGATCGTTTAATTGTCGGTTGGAATGTTGAAAATATAGATAAGATTCAACTTAAATTTGATCAAACTGTTAAAATTAATAAAAATATCTATAGTTTGTGTGTTTCTGATGATAAGAAACTATGTAGAATTTATGATGATGATAATGGTAAGTAATATTCTGTAATTATAAACTTATGGTAATTGATATTTATTTTAATATATATTTTTTTTTTTGTAGACGATAAAATCGATATCATCGATATGAATAATAATGATAAAAAAATTGCATTAAGTTTTGATAGACGAATTTATCCAGTGTATTTCACCTTTAATTTAAAAGATGAATTTATTTTATATAGTTCAGTTCACTCTTATTTTGGAAGTCAGAAAATTATTTGGATTTATTCCACACAAACTAAAAATAACAAATGGGAATGTAAGAGATTTTACAGGATACCCGAAGATTATGAAGTAATTAGTATATCAAAATATGATAAAGTTTACCTGTATTCAAATGATTACATTTATGAATGGAATATTGATACTGAAAAAAGTGTAAAAATATTTGTTAATAATGAGGATAAGAATGAGGTAATAAATATTATAAAATTATTTTCAAACCAATTGATGTTAAATTATAATTAAATAAAATATTTTTTATTTTTTTTAGTTTGAAACAAAAAATATCAGAATATTCAGTAATGAAAAGTTTAATATTTTAAAATTCAATGATAAAATCATCGTTTATTCAATCGAATTGGGAATTCCTATTGCTACTTTGAATATAAATGATGGTAACCATTTTTAATAAAATTTATTTATACTTTAATTATTACTCATATTAAATCACTATTTTTTTTTTATTTAGATATTCAACTTTATAATTTTATGAATCATACTGGTTTATTTCTTTTACCTTCTTTATTCTATTATACACCAGATAAAAAAATCAAATATTGCTGGAATAGTAAATACAAAAATAGGTTTAATCAAACTTTATTTGACAAACCAACTGATGAACAAACTGATGAACAAACTGATGAACAAACAAAGTTTGTGTTTGGAATTCTAAATGAACGTGTTTGGAAATCTAAATTTTACGAAAATATGTCAAAAACTAAAGTTATTGAATGTGAAACTTACAATCACTTAAATGTTCATTCATTTAATCCATATATGGATACTATATCTACATTATTTCAAAACGCCACATGCGATAGTAAAGAAGAATTAACTGAATCAATTGGAAATTTAATTAAATGGGAAATATTTGCTGATGATGATAAAATTAGACTAGAAGTTTTCAAAAAAATTAATACTGAATGGGAATCAATTAGCACAAGAATTGAAAAACATCATTATCCTTTTAAAATTGACGACATAACCATTAATTTACATAAATTAATTGTGAGCTTATTATTTAATAATAATGATATTGTTATATTGACAACATTTGGTATTCTTATTTATACTTTTAGTGAAAATAACAAATCTATTTCTTTAAACTATTTTTATTTTATAAATTTCGATAATTATAGATATGAATATAACAATAACAAAAAATATATGGAAATACTTCAACATAACACAAGAATATTTTCAAAATCTACTTTACCATTACCAAATTATGATAGTTTTAGATTAAATGGATGGGTTTCAGATGCAAAAAATAATAAGTCAAGTCTTTTGAAATATGGAGTTGAATTATTAACATTTGCAATTAAAGAACATAAGTTAGAATTAATTGATGATATTTATAAAAAATGTATGACTTATTTTAAAGAGGATCCAATAAACAATAAGTCATTTTTAAGCATTATCACTTCTGCATTTCCATTACTAAATGAATATTATCCAGAATATATTCTAAAATATTCATTAGAAACGAATATGATAATAGATACTTCTTTTTATAGTATAGAGCATCAAAATAAAAATTTACATCTTCATTCTTTTTTTCAATCTCCTCAAATAGCTAATTTATCGAAATCTCTTTTATGGACAAAATACTATCATAAATTTTATAATGCAATTAATCATAGAAAGTTGTTGTTAATTAGTATACGGGTTATTCAAGCTTTAATAACACTTTCAACTTTACCCCTTTATTTGGCTACATTTTATGTTTTATCAAAATACAATTTTATTAATAATATTTACACTCCAGATGTATTTTCTTATGCTTATTTTCGTATTGTTGAAATTTTTAAATACTTTCAAAAAGATATAACAACAACACCAACAATTACTTTTATAATTCCTTATATTAATTTTGTTAATTATTCAAAAGATTATAATTGGTTTTTAGAATTAATTAGACCTCAACCTAGTCAATTTACTAAATCAATAAATAGAAATATCTATAAAACATGGAATGGGGAAGCATTAATTAAATTTAAATGGAATGCTTATGGAATATATTATTATGCAATTATTTGGATTTTATTTATGGTTTTACTTGGATGCTTCACTGCTGCTGCAACAATTCCTCAGCAATATATCAGTGAAGAAATTAGACAACAACTTTTTATTGCTTCGATTATACTTGGATTTATTCATCTGATTTTAGAAATTCGTCAATTTTTTTATAATGTTACTAAGTGGTTCAAGAATTTTTGGAATATTTTTGGTAAATATAAATGTTTAGTTTATATATTTATAATATTTTAAGAAAATGAAATTAATTAATTATATAATGTTTTAATATTTCAGATATAATTGCTTATGTACTTTCAATTTACACTTCTATTTATTGGCTTCAAACAAATGATAAGAACAATAATTATCTAATTCAATCGCTTTCTTTTTCATGCTTATTTTTGGATATAAAGTTTTTGTTATTTTTTAGAGCATTTGAATATTTTGGTGTATATTTTGCAATTATTATTAGTGTTGGAAAAAAGATTTTTTCTTTTTTAGTAGTCATATTCATTATTATCATAAGTTTTGCACACGCATTTTATATTTTATTATCTCCAAAATCTGAATTTTCATTTGAACAATATACAAATAATGATGATCCGAATAATCCTTGGAATTTAGCTTCTAGTTATAGTCAAGTAATTGATAATAATGGAAATACAAACTCCAATCCATTTATGATTCAAACACCTGATAAAAATACAAACATGTTTATAGATATTAAAACTTCTCTTTTTGCTATTTATTTATTTTTAGCAGGTACAGTATATTTAAATCTTTCATAAATATATTAACATTTTTCTAATATATTTAAGCAATTTTTCTTATTAATAGGTGATTCAAGTGCATTATCCAATTGGTCATATGCAGACAATCCATCAATTGCAATATTGATTATTTTATTTTCCCTCTTGGTTGTTGTATATCTTATGAACTTGTTAATTGGATTACTTAATAATGCAATTGAAGAGGATAATAATAGAGTCTCATATTTGATACAGAAGGCAGAAGTAAATAATATTAATATTAATCATTCTATTTTCTATAAATATACTAATATATTTCTCAATTTTTATTTTTTAAAGATTTTGGCTGAGATTGAGTTATTTTACCTATTACCAAATCAGAGATGTTGGCAAACATGGTTTCCTGAAGTAATGTATGTAATTTTGCTTTTTTTTAAAAAAAATATGATGTCATAATTTTATTAATTATTCAAATTTATTTTTTTAGACATTATTATACTGATGTTGATAAGACTCGAATAGAAATTGAAAGATTGATTAAAGAGGGTGAATGGGATAATAAGGAATTCATAAAGATGCAAGAAAAATTATTGGAACAACTTCAGATTAAATATAATCCTATTGGCAATGAGGTAATATTGGAGAAAGTAAAATCTAATGATGTGAAATTAGATAAGTTAGAAGAGAAATTAGATAAGTTAGAGAAATTAGAAGAGAAATTAGAGAAATTATTGGAAATACATGCAAAATAATTTAATATTACATTAGTTTTATAATTTGATCACTGAAATTATTGGAATTATGAATAATGTATTAAATAGATCTTAGTAAATTAAATAAAATTGAATGAAAGAGGAAAAAAAATAAAAAAAATTCATTTTAACGTGATTATATACTGTAGAAATTTTGTTATATCTGTACTATTCCTTCCTATCTTTATTCTTTATAACTTTTATTAAGCATTCTAGGGCTAAGATTTTCTTTTCAAAAATTTTTATTTGCATACTCAAGCCAAAAGTAACGTGAAATGAAATGTAGTTTCTATGTGATCAAATTATGTTGTCAGAAACTTTCATAACGTTAACAATATTGCTTTTTCAGAATTCATTAGAATTGAAGAACTAATAGATGTTTTATAAGCTTTATGTTGATTTCTTCATAGGTATCCCATTTTTCATAGCCATGCTATGATAATATAGGTCATAAATACATGCCATAAGTAATAAATAGTGAGATGGATTCGCCTTGATCAATGCGCTCTCAATGCTGTGATGATGGTAATGTGAGATCAATTTATAATTAGGTGTTTTTGGAAATAGATTTACTAATGACAAGCTTAATTTTGTGGATCTAATTAAAGAAATTTTTCCATCACAGCTTTATAAGTTTATTCTTGAAAAATTAGGTAATAATCAAAAAAATAGTGCAGTTGACGTGGGGATAAATTTACTGCAATATGTGTTTGAAGAAACAAAGATACAAATATGGGGGCCGCGTTGCGAGCTTCTAAATCGATTGGAGAAAGAATATGGAATTACTAAACAAGACAAGAAGAAACCAGATTCAATATTTTAGAAGAAAAATGAGAAGAAATTGCTAATCGCCCGATTTGTTTTAACAGAAGATATGAATTTTTAGAGGGTGTCAGAGAGTATATTTTATTTGGAAAAGAAATCCTGGGTTTTACAGTAGTTTTGAACTGGGTGGGTAAGATAATTAATTACTATTACAACCGTTCTTGTTGTTTCTACTGTTTTTAAACAGTGGAGTTTTGTTTGTTTTCTGTTATTATTTTACTTTAACTTTGGTTACCGTTGGTAAGGTTTTACGAGTTTAATTCTTTACTAAGGTTTTTTACAAGATTTGTTATCAGATAGTTTTTTTTACTATAGATCTTATATCTGTAAATTGGCACTCTGTACTGGTTTTTCTTTAATAAATAAATATGCGCTTTGCGCCTTTTGCCTACCAAATAAAAAAAATAATGTACTGCAGAATATTGGTTTGTACTATACCAAATTCTTTAACCTATTGTTATTTCTTTATTATAATTTAAGAGATTTTAATTCAAATAATATTTAATTAGTCCAAAAACTATTGACAATTTTTTTAAAAATTCATTAAATACGAGAATTTTACTAACATTAATTATATATTGTTGTCGATCATCCAGATTAAATTAGAAAAATCCCGTGACCGAAGAAACGTTACCATTACGCCACATTTCTGATTTTAGTTTTGTACTAGTCATGTGTCTCATTGTCAGTAAAAAAAACAATTTTTTTTAGTAATTTTCAAAAATCGGGTTATTTTTCGTTCAAAAATTTTAACCTTCAATGGAACTTCTTACAGAATATATCGTAGATTTTGACAATGGGAAGGAAATTATTGTAAAAAATTTTACAAATTGGACCAGTGGGAATAATATAATTGATAATTTCATTCAGGAAAAACAATTAAAACTTAACAACAACCCTAGAGATAGAATACTTAAGTGGATACCATATGATGAGTTTATTGACATTAAAGAGATAGGACAAAGTGGTTTGGCTACAACAGTATGGAAGGAAGGTCCTTTATTTTATAATGAAAATGAAGGATGGATAAGACTATCATATCAAAAAGTTATATTAAAGTTTTTGTATGACTCGGAAAATATTACTGATGAATTTATAAACAAGGTATTAAAATTTTTATTAAATTATATGATATTCTTTTTTGTTCTAACTTCAAAAAAAAAAAACTCTTCTATTCATTTTTTTTTTCATATTAATAGGTTGAATCATATTTAGCAGATGAATATGATGTTTGCTACGGGATATCTCAAAATTCAGACACGAAAGATTATATTTTGATTTTTTCCAATGATTATCTTGTACATCGTTGCAAAAAATGTGGTATTAGGTATTATAACTGGTGTCAACCATGTCAAGTGAATCATTTTTATTAACAGGCTATTGTTACGGAATATCCAAAATCCCAGGTACAACAGATTATATTTTTGTTTTTTCCAATTATTATTTTGGAACACAATGTAAAAGATGTGGTAGTGAATATGAGAATTATAATTATCACTGTTCTGATTGGTGTAAACTATGTCGAATAAACCAACTAAAAAATGATTTTACAAACTGGACTAGTGGGAATAAAATAATTGATAATTTCATTCAAGAAATACAATTGAAGGATTGTAAAGTATTTGAATGGATACCATATGATGAGTTTTTTGATATTAATGAATTAGGAAAAATTGGCTTAACTACGGCAATATGGAAGAATGGACCATTAAGTTATGATGCTCAACATAATAAGAAATGGGATAGTACATACGATAAAGTTTCTTTAAGATACCTACATAACTCGCAAGATAGTATTAATGAATTTATAAATAAGGTATTAAAATTTTTATTAATTTGGTTTGAATATTTAATATATTATTGCCATTTTCAAAATTACTGACAAATTCCGATTTGCGAGGTTTGATATATGATTTTTCGTATAACAAAGTGAATCACATTTCTGCATGAATTTTTAATATTTTTGTGTCAAATTTTTTTTGTGAATCATCAAATTAAAGTCAAAATATGTATCAACGCAATATTTCAGTATATATTTCTTATAAAAATTTTGAACTTTTATTATGCGGATATCATTTATTACAGTTATTTATATATAAAAATAAAGTGAATCACATTTCTGCATGAATTTTTAATATTTTTGTGTCAAATTTTTTTTGTGAATCATTAAATTCAAGTCAAAATGTGTATCAACGCAATATTTCAGTATATATTTCTTATAAAAATTTTGAACTTTTATTATGCAGATATCATTTATTACAGTTATTTATATATAAAAATAAAGTGAATCACATTTCTACATCAATTTTTAATATATTTGTATTAAAAGTTTTTTGTAAATCATCAAATTCAAGACATTATGTATATCAAGGCAAAATTTCAATATATATTTCATTCAAAATTTGGACTTTTCTATGACACTATTTTTATATGTAAATAATTGCAATAAATAATATTAACATAGTAAAAGTCCAAAATTTTTATATGAAATATATGCTGAAATTTTGCACTGATACTCATTTTGTCTCGAATTTAATGATTCACAAAAAATATTTGACATGAAAATATTAAAAATTCATGCAGAAATGTGATTCACTTTATTTTTATATATAAATAACTGTAATAAATGATATCCGCATATTAAAAGTCCAAAATTTTTATAAGAAATGTATACTGAAATTTTGCGTTGATACACATTTTGACTTTAATTTGATGATTCACAAAAAAAAATTGACACAAAAATAATAAAAATTCATGCAGAAATGTGATTCACTTTATTTTTATATATAAATAACTATAATAAATGATATCTGCATAGTAAAAGTCCAAAATTTTTGCTGAAATTTTGCGTTGATACACATTTTATCTTGAATTTGATGATTCACAAAAAAAATTTGACATGAAAATATTAAAAATTCGCGTAAAAATGTGATTCACTTTTGTTATATGAAAAATCATATATCAAACCTCGCAAATCGGAATTTGTCAGTAATTTTGAAAACGGCAATAATATTCAATTTTCTTCATATTTTGACAGGTCAAATCACATTTAACCGATTCTTGCTACGGAATATCTCAAAATCCAGATACAAAAGATTACATTTTGGTTTATCCTCAAAATTATATTTATAAATATTGCAAAGAATGCGGTAATAAATATGAGGATTTTCATCGGTGCAAACCATGTATTATAAATTATTTAAAAAATAATTTTATAAACTGGACTAGTGGAAATAAAAAAATTGATAATTTTATTCAAGAAACACAATTAAAATCTAATATAATGATACATTATTTACATTATTTGAATGGATACCATATGTTGGGTTTACTGACATTAATGAAATAAGAAAAGGTAAATTTTCTATGGCAATATGGAAGGATGGTCCATTAAGTTGTCCCGGGAAATGGGAAAGGGAGGCACCTGAAAAAGTTTATTTGAAATATTTGCATAACTCACAAGATATCACTGAAACATTAAGTGAGGTATAAATTTTTCTATAAATCTAATTTATTTAATTTTATTTATTAATAATATAATAATTATATTTTTATAGATTAAATGTTCAATGGGACATAGTTATGGGATATCTCAAGATCCGAGTACAAAAGATTTTATTTTAGTTCTTCAACACATGTATTATTGTAAAAAATGTGGTGAAAAATACAAAAATGAATTTGAAATAAATAATAAAAGCTGTATGTCATGTCAAATAAGTCATGAAAATGAAAAAATCAGTGATTTGATTCAAGAAATGAAATTAAGTCAAGCTGATATTATATTTGAATGGATACCATATGATCAGTTTAATAATGTTGAAGAAATAGGTAAAGGTGGGTTTTCCACAGTATATTCAGCAATATGGAAAGATGGTTTAATAAAATATGATGAAGATATTCTTGGATACAAAGGTTGGAATAGAAAACCAAATACAATAGTTGCTTTAAAATGTTTGCATGATACACAAAATTCCCATGATGATTTTATAAATGAGGTATGAACTTAAATATTTTTAGTAGCAATTACACATATATATTAATAAAATAGATTATTATCTTATAGGTTAAAGCATATCAAAATCGAAAATTAGACAATATTCTTAAAATGTATGGAGTATCACAAAATCCAAATACAAAAGATTATATCATAGTGCTTGAATATGCAGAAGGTGGAGATTTTAAGGGTTACTTGGATAAAAATTATGAAAAATTTGATTTGGTTAATCAAATAAAAATATTAGCTATTATTATTGGAGGGCTTAACGAAATTCATCAGAAATGGATGGTTCATCGTGATCTTCATATAGGAAATATATTACTTACAAAAATACAAGACCAAGATTTTTTATTTAATAGTTATAATTGTTATAATTATAATGCATGTATTTCTGATATGGGATTATGTAAAAAACTTGGAGAAACTGATGAGACAAATATTTACGGAGTTATGCCTCATGTTGCTCCCGAAGTATTAAGAGGAAAGCCTTATACTCGAGCAGCTGATATATATAGCTTTGGTATGATTATGTATTTTGTAGCAACTGGAAAGCAACCCTTTGCTGATTGTGCTCATGATGAGATACTAGCAATTAGTATATATAAAGGGGATAGACCTGAAATAAATGAGAAAATTGTACCAAAATTTTATATTGATTTAATGAAAAGATGTTGGGACATGAATCCAGACAATAGACCAACTTCTGTTGAAGTAAAAGAATTGATTGATTTATTTTACGTATCAATAAACCAATTTGGATATGGTTTTAAAGTAGAAGAACAACACCTTGAAATTAGAAAGCAATTTAAAGAATCAGTAGAATATAGAGAAGCAAATCCTTTACCAAGTAAAAGTAATCAAATACATACACAAGCTATTTTTACCTCTCGATTACTTAACCCTTTTACAAAAAATCTTCCAAAATACGATGATAATATTAATAATAATTCAGTAGAAATTACTGATTTTATGAAGTAAGTTGCATTTTTTATTTTGTTTTGATGCTTTTTTTTTTTTATTTATCTTATCTCTCATTCTTATTTAATATTATAGCTTATAATCATTTTCCTGGAAATAGTTATTTAAAACTTTAAGTTAAAATGACAATTATCATAAAATTTTTCTTTAGAGATAATAGGAATTTTTTTAGCTATGATTTATAAATTTCCCGTCATAAGAGAATACCTTCTAGATTTAACGAAAGAAGTAGTAGTGAAGATTTATTATATTTTGATTTTTCATATTTTAACAATATTTTATTTATTTATTATACAATAAAAGAAATTTATTAATAATAATTTTATTTAACAATATTTAACACCGATTATGAATAATATGTAAAATTTTCCTTAAATAATAAAGATCGGTTAGTGAACAAAAAATTATTTTTTACGAACACGCTTTTCTTTATTGGGAGTTACGTACTATACTTTTTATGTGTTTCTTTTTTTTGTTATTTTATGTAAGATAAATCCTGTATCTCCCTCGCTCTAATCTACCAAATTCACTATGTTTTCGTTTAATGTTGTTGCACTGTTTGCGTCCACCGAAAGTAAAATTATAATCGGCAGATCTTACGTATACTATTCAAATAATAAAATTATAATAAAATTCGCAAAACGGCTAAAACTATCAAATTTGTTAAATTTTGTGATTTTTTGCAAAATTAAAGCGATGGTAAACATAACAAGAAAGCTTTCGTACGATATTATTCATGTTTAACAAGTTTTATGCCGATTTATTAATTGCAATTCCATTAAATAGAAGGTTTGCTGCGATGAATTTGTATGACAATGTTTGAATTTGATATTATTTGTGGCCGGACAATTATAATATCTACTATGTTGAAAATTTACTGAAAATTTACCTTTACTCATCTTAAACTTAATTTAAAAACTATTGGCATAAAACTTTGTGAAAATGTTTTCTTCTCCATTATCTATAATTTTGTAATTTTAAAAGTAATATTTATTATATTTTATTTTTTATATTTATATGTAAACTGATAAACGGATAGTGAAAAAGCAAATAGGATTTCCTAAAATTTTGCCATGTTACACAGATTTATTTACAGTTTTGATCGGATAAATTTATAAGATTTGAATGTTAACTTTAAAAACTGCATTTTTATTTCTATGGTAGTTTGTTTATAATATTACATTAACAAAATATTATGTGTGTGTATATGTATATGTTAAATGATGGGTAAAGATTAAAATATCATTAAATAATAGTCGGATGTGACTTCAATTATAATTATCCGGGGTCCCGTTCCGGATATGGCCTTTTATTACAGATCATGTATAAATATATCTTGGGTCCTTTTCGAACTCTGAAGTATAATTTTTCGTTAGAGTTTTAATTTTTAAAATTATTAAGAAATTTATCCTTAATTATTTGAATAATATATCTGCATCATAAATGTTTGGTTGGAAAGTAATAGAAAAACATTTCAAAATGCCTAATAATATATAAACATCCAGTTAAAATATTAAATATGTTACTGAATAAGCATTCTATACGGATATTGTAAAATAAAAATCATCTTATTCTAAATTGTTTCAATCTTGAGAACAGTGACATATTCGCCAATATCGTTTTATTATAGACGCTTTGGTCCCACACCAGAAGGTATACGTTCAAACCGAATCATTTATTTATAAAAGATAATGCGTCATCAAGATTTTTAAATACTCACCAAATAAAATATTAGCTAATACAGTATATGCCATCCGCCTTATTTTATTTCAAAACTGCAGTCAATAAATGGTATATCTCCTTTTCTACTTAACTTATTACTTTTTACATTTCTATGAATTATATATTCCTTAAAATCCCAAGAGTTAAATGTGTTATTGGATATTTCAGAATTTGAATTTGAATGAATTATAGAAATATTCACTTAACAAAGTAAATCTTGATCCTTCTCATCGTAGAACGTTCTAAAGATTTGTATTAAACGCTGCAAAAAACTTGGTCACGAAATCTATTATATTTTCTTAAAATAAGTTATATTAGTTCATGAAAAATCTTGTGACACGAAAGATTTGCCAAGTGCAAATTTGAGAACATTTTTACAATTTAAAATACAACATTATATACATAAAATTATATATTTTGAATACATACTGTATCATATGTATAGTACAGACCCATTTAAGGGATCATAATTCACCCTATATTCATGTGTTGTGTACAGTATCGTACAAAATTGTCTGTATAATGTAAATACAGAAAACATTAACTGAATTTATCAATAAATTAACATATTACTTTTTGAGAATTCTAATTTTAAATTTTATTATTCTATATTTCATTGATATCATAAAATCATGAAATTTAAAGTATAAAATTTATATAATTATAGTATTAAATATTAATGCTTATCCCATGTAAAATACTTAATAAAACTTGATATATTATTACCATTGTTTATTAATTAGCAATGGCGCAGCACTTACCTGGTCTGTCTCGTGACATTATGCGTCTCTGATTGGAGACTCAAAAAGGAAATATTGGCTAAACTTTATATTGCATATTTTGTAACACAATTCGATATACGGAGATAAATTCCTTTTAAATGTTTACTATTGTTTTTTTTAAGCCAAAAAATGACGTATGCATAAACTTTAATGTAAAAAATAGGCAACTTTTCAAAGAGAATAATAAATAGTTTCTACTCGTTCAAATGTTTTTAAATGATTATTATATAAGGAAGAAAAAAAAGACACATTTTAATTGACTTATATAATCAATATTCTCATTAGAAGCTCTAAAAGGAGTTATTTGGTTCTCGGAGATTATAGGAATCTTAAAAAAAAATTTATTAGAAAAAAAAAAAATTTTTTTTTACGTTTATTGTGGGTTAATTTTTGTCAACTCATTTACCTCGATTAATTGAACTCACGGTTTCAGATGATCTTTTTTGTAATTGATAATAATGATAATCAAAAAATTCTTTGTCTAACTAATTTACAAAAATGGTATATCACGAACAATATTCAACGATATTCAAGTTAAAGGTAATAAAGAACATTACAATTATTAAGTCTTAAAATTCTTGATATATAAAGGACAGATTTAAAAAATTAAATTAAAATTATTTCTTTTATTTCTTTTATTTCTTTTATTTCAACATGTTAAAATATTTTTTATTCATTTTTTTTAATTTAAATTTATTAAAAACGAACTAAACTACATTTAGTTTTTTTTTTATGTTGAATGGTTAGCCAATCAGCATTACCTAAGCGAAAAATTTTTTTATTAAAATAGACTTTTATATTTATTGTAACTAAAAGTTACGTAGTACAAAAACAACCTAACCTATTCTAAAAAATATTCTAGCTATTCAAAACCTATTCTGAAAAGTCGAAAAAAAATCTATTTATTAAAAAAGTCATCTAGATAATCAAAAAAAAACATTAAGTGTAACTAAAATGTAAAACTAAAATGTAAAACTGATTTTTATCGGGTCAAAAGTTTATCAATTATAATCGAAACTAGTATTAATAAGAAAAATTTGATACGTAACATATACGCAAAATTTGATACACAAAATTTGATACGTAAAATTTGATACACGTAATAAAGTAACATGATAAACCCTAAATTCCATGGAATAATATCGGATATATGCCAAATTTCAAATGCCAGATGCCAATGTTTACCATAAAGTATACATGTCAAGATAACAACGTTATACTGACTAAAGTTCCACGTACTTTTGTGAAAATAACTTCTTTTCATTCATCCTTTAAAAAAAAACGTTCTTTAAAGAAAACCAATTTTCAATATAAAATTTCAGAGGTAAAATTAAAACTCCGGATTATCCTTTCAATAAAAGTTTGTATCACCATTAAAGAAAATATTTACGAAAGAATTATTGTTATTCGTTATTTGGGGTGCCATTTGTGTAATTCTGTCGATGGTATCAGAATTGTTTATAAACGAAAGAAGATTTTGATTTATATTATTTATGGTATTTGCATTATTTGCAAGATTTTCGAATAGATTTCTTTGAAAAGAATTTGAATGCGTGTTCCATACGTAATTTGTCGCTACATTAATTAGATATTGATCGTAAAATTGTAATCTATGAACCTCGTTCTCAACATTTTGTTTAATTAAATCTTTTCCCGTTATCCTTACATTTCTTGTTTGTGTTGAAAGTAATTGCGCGTCGCCATCATAAGGAAGTAAATAAATATTAGCGAAGTTTACGAGATCTAAAAATCTATCTAATATTGATTTAATGGACATATTTTTGACGAAGTTTGTTAATGAAAACATTTTAAGAAATCTTTTCTAATTTAGTATTTATATTGTTTTTTGCTTTATAATAACAATATAAATAAATATTAGAATTATAACATGGGCGTTGTACCCGAGATATAAACAATGAAACAATGAGGTTATGATAAACTATTTTTTTTCAATGATAAAACGAACAAATTAATCATTCATTATATCATTATTTACGCGTGATCAGTATTAAAAACTAATAAAATTTTTATCACGAAAACTTTAAATTTGCTATGGGGCTTAGACCAACAAACGTTAAATTGTGTACAATATGATATTTGATGTACATTGATCTTACATTACAGTATTAAAATACATTTATACGGGGTAAAAGTTTACTAAAAATAAATAATTATAAGATAATTTATCCCTAAACTATTAGTTATTATTAGAACACGCACGAAAAAATTAAATTTAAAAGTATGTATGCAAGTATTTTTGTCTTTTATTTTAACCTTAAAGAAGTAATTGGACAATGAGACTTTATCAAAAAACATCGAGAATATTCCAAAATAACTGCATTACAATAATCGTTTACTTATATTAATATAGTAGAAAGGAAAAAACATTAAAATCAAAACATTTGTATCAAAACATTACATAATGTTGATAAAGATCTGCAATATTTCTTGCAAATTAAAAAATATTCATATGTTACTAACATCGGTTAACATCGGGAGTTAAATAACGAAAATCTTCAAATGTTGGAAATCTCCTACTTTTTTGAGGGGGTGTTAGGTTTATTCATTTTTTTTAACACTAAAAATAGTTTTAATTTGTGAATCAGGTCACAAAAATGAACCATTCATAATCATTTCATCATAATCGATCTAACTAAAATTTATTAGATCCAATTAAATACTAAATTATCGTTTCGGCCAAAATTATTGTATTCCGGGTAATAGTCGGTAACTTAGCAGAAATGATCGGCACCTACTATTAATATAGAGAATACTAGTCGTCACGACGTCACGACCGTCACGTTATTATTTAAAAAAAAAAGAAATGTTGATATCAAGGTATTAATTCGTTAGATTTATTAGCTTTCAATAGACTATAAAGATGAATTGAAGTCTTTGAATGAACATTTTTTTGTAAAGAATGTTAATGATCGATCTGTGTATTACACATAACATTACACACAATTCTATTTAAAGTTAAATAAAAGGCACAAGTTTTTCATTTATTTTTTTTCTAATGGATTACCATATATATCTATCAATCAGTCAAATTTGAAGTTATTTCTTAATCCGGAAAATATACTATTTTATTTTGGCTGATATTCTATAAAAAATTTTTTTTTCCAAATAAATACATTTTTATTCCTATCAAGGATGTTTGTACATCTTTACTTCCTAAAACTATATGTACTATAAATGTGATCTCTAGTTATGTATAATATTCTTTGCCATCTCACAATATATCAACCCTAGTAACTCTGAACATAATTATTTGAAATAAATAATCTCTACATTATCGATAATATATATCATAGCTTAAAATGAAATTCAATATTTTATTAGGGTTAAATAATTTCACATATAATCTTGTAAAATTGATTGTTGTATTGTCGTTGATAATAAAAAATATGCTCATATTCATTACTAGTTTGAACATTATATTCTTTGTTATTTAAAACTTATTTAGTAAGTCAATGGATTGTAACCTGCTGCGGTGCGAAGTTACATTATCCGTATCTGATGAATCTAATGAATTCTTATTTGCAATTATAATAAAAGAAATGTAAATATGTATTTCGCTATATGCTGTAAGTTTATGATAAGTAATACTTTTAATTATGGTATTTTTAGATTTTTTTAAAAGGTAAAAAAAAAAGCAAGCCGCATACTCGTTATATAGATTTCTGAACAAAATACATTTAGTAAGAAACTATTTATTGAATGTGACATCGAAATATATGCAAAAGGTCAGAAACTGCCAAAAAAATTACTATTAGCTATATTCACTTTTACAGCAGGGCCGGAATTATGATAATTTCGGTCAGTATCCAAATAAGGTAATAGCTTTCTACCAACAATTATCTATTAAAAGGAAAGATTTTCATGATTTTTCTTGGCCGAACTTAACCTTTTTGCGTATATTTTATATATTTTAGGTACCCGTTATTCTGATATTTGCCGATAACTAAAAAGTCATCTGACTTATACAGAAATATTAAATTTTACACTAATAATAGATGTGGCAGTGCTCCTTAAATAAATGAACAAAGGAACTCTGGGACTCTGGACGATTAACTGGTTAAAATTAAATTCGTATAACATAGTTAGTTGGTTGGTACGACAACGTGGATTAATTATGTGATCAAGGGAATTGAAAAATTTTCGGTAACGTGACTTGAAAAATTTTATTGGTGAGATTACAACATTTTCATAAAAAAAATTTTCAAGAAAAAAAAAAATAGGTATTATTAGACTATCGGTCTTTTTAAGGACTGCAGAAATATTGTGACAAAAAAAATCATTTAAAATAAACAAAACAATACATTATTAATTTAGTGAGTTTCTGCCATTTATTTCTAGAAATTAAATAAAGGAATTAAATGAACACTAATTGGGATGCTTTTAATATATGAATTTTTTCTTATAAACCACCTGGATGTATGATCATCACAACAATGTTGTCAGACAGATTCCTTTTTCTTGATATAACCTTTTCCTGACAACAATTTCTGACAAGACGAATTCCCGAGTGGACATTTCCTGAAAGCATTTTTTTCCCGACATGTACTGTATTATCCCGTGTAGTGCCATAATTTTACTAAAATATATAAAGTAATAGATAGGCCGGTAAATTAAGTAACATTAATATTTAACTCACCTCGTAAAATATGGCGCAGTATTGAAATAATTAATGATCACATGATGTGGATCATTTTATTACGAAACGAATCTAAAAATCATAGACTGCATGGTGATAAATAGGGATGTTAAACGGTCTGTCTAGTTCGTTTTAAGTTCCAAACTAGTAGTTTCAGTGGTCAAACTAGTTTTAACTAGTTTTAACCAGGTTTAACTGAAAGCATAATAGCAGTTTATCTTATAGTTAAACTAGGTTTAACTGAAATAATGAAATTACAGTAGTTTATCATTTTCCTAATCATGATCTGTGTAAATTACAATATGTATGTAACAATTTTAAAGTGATAAATTATAATATTTATAATGTTTTAATAAAGAAATATTCAAGTATTAAACAATTATTCAATATAAATTATTATCCTCATCATCTTTCATAAAGTCTTCTTCAACTAATCTGGTTGCAAACCGGTTTCAAGGCAAAGAAATTCATGAACTTTTTCTGGATTCAGGCAGTTTCTTATTGGATTGACTGTAAATTTTGCCACACTGAACATTTGTTCACTTGGTATTCTTGTTGCTTGAACTACCAGATAATTGTGTACCATATTTGTAAGTGGAAGGGACTTTTGATTTTGCCTTAGTTTTCAAACTAGTAAAATGACTAGTTTTAACTAGTTTTAGCTTAAACTCAGTTTTAACCAGTTCGGATCAAACTACTATCTCCAAAAAGATTTCCTTCTTTCATTTTTTTCTTCTTTTTTTTTAATTTAGTTAAACTGTTTCATTCAAAAATAATTTCTTATATCAGTTTTGCATAATATTATGAAAGGATGATATTTTTGTTTGAGATTTCTCTAATAATAATATTTTATATAGCTATTGCTATAGCTATAGACATCAATAGCAAAAAATATTGCTTTTTGCCAAATTGCTTCTTTTGACATCATTAGAATAAAATTACAAACTAAGCATTTCTGTGCCACTTTCATTGCATGTTTATTTTAGTCATCAAATAATAGGATTTTTCATCAAAAATAATTTTGATGATTAAAGAAATAAGGCTTTGAATATTTTTTCTTTTTAAAAAAAACTCAAAAAAAATTGTCAATTTTTTTTAATGTAAAAAAATTTGCTTCAATATCAAATAAAAAAATTATTGCATCATAATAGATTTAGGTTTGAAAAAAGAATCATTTTTCTTTCTTTTGATACACATCAACTATTAACTGACATAAATTAACACCTGAAGCACAACATACAGTATCTACAAAACTGGCTATATATATTATAAAAAAGGAATCTTTAAGTAAATACAACTAATCCCATATCCTTTTAGTATTTTTAGTTGGAATGGAGGAATATATTTTCTTTCACAGCTTTTTCTGTTCAGCCAAGTACTTCTTTTGGTCTGTAAATAATACAAAAAATAATGTAGGCTAATTACTAATAATTTGGATGCTGTAAGTCTTATCCTTTTAGCATTTTTAATACTATAATTTTAATAAAAATTACAGATAGACATCATTAGCACCCTTTTTTCATCCAACTGTATAACTTTAAATGGAAAACCTAAAACTTCTATATTCAATATTCTATTCACTGCTGATAAACATAAAACAAGTAAATCTGTCTTTTATTTCCTAATTCATTCATACTTAATGTCTAAAAACATGTTTCAAAATGCATGGAATATAGGAGATTTCATTTGACAATAAATATTCACTTGGGTATATCATGATCTAGGTCTCTTGGTAAACTGTATTTGAAAGTTGAAATGGAGTATATACCATACAAAGAAGTTGAATCTTGCCTCTTCCATTTGATTATTCCCTTTAGAAATTATTTCATCAAAAAAATTTGATTTTATTTTTGCATAGCTTATTTCAAATCTTGATTTAAACTTTTAACAAGAAATTTCTGCAAAACTAATTGACCTTTCATTAAAAACAACTTTTATTCTCCCTACTTAACTGTTTTTTTGACATGTTTATTGTTGTTAAATTATTGGTCATGGTATCAAATAATAAATACTTACATTTCATGAGCTAAAACTCATCTGAGAGTTCCTGATGAAACCTCTTATCATGTAAAGTTGGGTACATGTGGTAAATTATTCTGGGTTTCTGTTTAGTAACCTTTCTAAGTTCTCATACCCTGACTTTAATGAATTCCATTTGATGCTTTCATGTAAAATGATAAAATATTCTTGAAATATTAAATGATGTTGGAATGTATTTTACATGATTTCATACCAAAGTATTATTTTCTTTATTATTTAATACTAGGACTTGTTGAGCTGAACTTGGTGTATTCTCATATCACCTTTGTCCATACAGATATACTATCACAGTTCATTTTTCCACATAATTGTTTTTGATCTTCATTCTTATTTCTTAGTAATACTAGAATCAAGAATATTTATGTCAATACTTTTAATGAAATGTAAGAGAGATATTCTTTTAATGCCACCTGTTTACTTATGAGGCATAGGAAATAATACATCTGGTAAAAGATTTTTAACAACTTCTTTATGCTATAATTGTGTAAAACTGAATAAGTATCAAATTACTTTCTCTTGTGTTCTTCTGTGTAGTTTTGGTCCAATGAATGATCCTCTTCCTCTAAACTTTAGTATAACATTTTTTTTTCTACTAATATCACAAATTAAATTACAAATGGTAAAAGATTCACCTCTTTTTAGGGCATTCCATTTATTGTGACATTGGTTTTGGGTTATAGCAAAATTATAATTATTATTGATTCTAGAAATAATTCTCATCTAAATGATCAAATGTTCCTAAATTGATCAATTTTTTTCCTGCAAGAAAGTTATAAATCAATTTTAATGCAATTATTCTTTAAGTTTTAACTGGGTTCATCTTTTTTGTTATCATTAAATGAACTTCCATGGTCATTCTTTTCAGTCATATTTTCTATCATATATTATCTTACTACTTATATTGACATGACACCATTTCTGTATTCAGCCAAAAGTATATTCATTATTTCCAAAGTCTCTCTGTCACTAAACATTACTTTTCATATATATTATTATACATTTACTTAATTTTATTTATCCCAGTAGTAATTGGGCATCTTGATTATGAACTCCATGTTTTTAATAAATAAAATTTAATATGTAACACATTTGATGCTCACTGTAGTTGTATGAGGTTTAGAATTGTTAGAGGGTTTTCATATTGCATTCTTTAATTATACTTTTAAAAGTAAAAGAAGAACTTATTTCAAAACATTGTATCAATTATAAAGCACCCTTCCTAACTTCTTTTGTGCTATTTAAACTTGATGATGTAGTCTTGAAGAAGTTCATGTAGTTCATCCTTAATTTCCTTCAATTCTCTATAAACTTCGCACATTCAGCCTTTGTTTATTTTTCATTCATTACTAATTTTGTTTTACTCTTCTTATTTTTAGGTTTCTTATTTTTAAGTTTCAGCACTTTTTCTAGGTTTTAGTGATTCTAATCTTTGTGAAAATGGAGGCTTGTATTTAGGCTATTCTTTTTTTTTTTGATTTCTTTGCTATTTTCTTTATTGACCTTCATCTTTTCTTTTTTTTACTTCTTTTTTAGATTTCAGCAGTCCTTTTGTTGTTTTTTTTGTTATTGTTCATTGAATTTGTTAAATTTTCATTTGTTCTTTTTCTTTAAGTTCTATAGTACTCTTTCAAAGTGTGGGTTGGTTTTTTCATTATTTTTTTTCTTTGTTTACTAACTTCATTTTTTTTATTAGGTTCCAATTTGAATCATTAATTAATTTATTTTGTTATTGTTGTGTTTTTTGGTAACTTGAGTTTTCCATTTCATTTTTATTTTAGTATCATTTATCCTTTAGACTTTTACTTTGGTGATTTTTATTTTTTGATCCTCCTAACAAAAAATGTAAATTTTAAATTTTTTTGCTAGTTGTTCATTGACCAAATAAATAAAATCATAAAATTTGTTAAAATATTCTGTAAAATTATATATATATATATATATCATAATGATATAAGATCATGATTACATCATTATGATATAAATATATAACTATGATCTTATTATATCAAAGTGATGTAAGTGATTAACTGATTATGAATAAAATTTAGTCTTTAATTAATAAATTTGTAAATCAATATTAAAAATATTTAGCCAATCAATTTTTTTTAAAAAAAATCATATAATAGGGAAACTGATACCAACTCTGTGACATCTAGATAGTAACTCTTAACTCTTTTTTTTAAAAAATATATTACATATTATGTATGGATTACATACTTAAAAAATGTATCTATATATAAATATATATTATATCATTAAATGTTATAAATTATGTACTTAAAATAATGCAATATTATTTTTAATCCTATTCATAATTTGGATTTCCCAAATAATCAAATGATCAGTCAATTGGTTGGTCAGGGTAGTTAAATGGTCAAAACTAAAGCAGTTGTTCGGTCAAAAGGCTCTTAATATGAATGACTGATAACTGGCTATGATTAATTGTTGCCATCTTTAAATTTTTTGTAAAATATTCTTTGAATTTCATAATTCATAAAAAAAAAAAATATGATATAAAAAATATTAAAAATTCATGTAAAAAAAGGTGGATAGAAAAAATCATATGACTTAGTAAAATTGTCCGATTTTACCAACAATTTTGATAATGGCAATAATAAACTTGTTCTGAACACCTATTTTAGTTATTATCAATGATGTATTTAATTAATTTTTGGCTAATTTACGATGTTTGTTTACTATTTTTTTTAAGATCAATATTATAATTTATTATGATTTTAAAAATGTTTATAATTAAAATTTTATGGAATTATAAAAAAAAAACATTATTCCATGATAAATACAAAAACTGTTTGATGATTACATAAATGTTTGTTAACAAACCATGGGTTTCTGCAATGAAGATATTTGAATATCTTTTTCAAATTCATTTTCACGAATAGTTTTTTGTTGTTGTCTATATTTATACCATTTATATACAAAGAAAACTCCGACCGATAAGAAAATACCACTTAACAAAGATCCTATAATAACACCAACTAGTTTGATATTTAATGATAAGGGTGGTGAAGAAGAAGGTGATTGTGAGAGTGTTGGTGACAAGGTTGGTGACAAGGTTGATGACGAGGTTGATGGTGAATAAGATGGTGATGAAATTGAATGATCAAATTTTGTTGTCCATATATATTCTTCATTTTTACTTATATCAAGTAATAATATATCACTTTCAACTTTTCTATCATAACCATCACCTATTAAATTTTATTGTTTATTGTTAAAAATAAAAATTAATTTGTTTAAATAACAATATTTAAAATATTATATTTACCAAATGATATAACCATATATTTTCCAATTACATTTGCCTTATGAAAAGTTCTAGAGCTCGGATTTTTTCCAGAAATTTTTGGCACATACCAATTATAATTACTTAAATCTAATACATAAAGTGTAGTATTCGAATATCCGGGATTATTAAAATATCCTCCATAAATTATAATTCTTTGACCATCTAAACCTGTTAAAAATATTGATTATATTTCATTAAAATTCAAAACTTTTTTATAAATAATAAACTGTGTTCTTATTTAATTTCATACCAAGAATTGTGGAAAAACCAACTCTTTTAGAAGGAATTTCTCCCATTGTTATCTAAAATTTGATAATAAGTTAAATTATTTACAATGAAAACTTTTATATACAGTTGTGAATTAACTTACTTTTGTATCCCAATTATCATTAACCGTATCATATATATAAACCTATAAAAGCAATGACTTAATTTATTGCTTTTTATAAAACAATTGAAACATTTAAAAATTATAATACCTCATTTAATGATAAAGCGCCTTTAGTAAGGTTTAAAGTTTTACCAAAATTAATATCATTCGTACCACCTAAATGTATGAAATATATAAAAATTACTGGTTTACCCATATAAATAATTTTATTATTGGGCAATAAAGTAGCACCATAATGAAATCTTGGAGTTGGTGCATTTACTAAACTTCCTTCACTCAAATTAAGATTTGTTGTATCTAAAATAAGCATATCATTTGCTACAGCAACATTATCGTTAACACCTCCCCACAAATAAAATTTTCCATTAGAGTCTACAACTCCTGTTAAATCCCATTTTCTAATCATGGTAATTTTTTGAGGATTCCATGAAGTGCGATTCGGGTCAAATGTATAAACCAATGCCATTGTTTTATCGGATGAAGCACCTCCATATAAATATAATGTATCATTATTTACACCGCCTTTAGTTGAAGTTGCATCAGTATGTAATGGAATAATATTGATATTTGATAAATCTTGCCATGATAATAGTTGAGTATCATAAAGTACGGAAACATCAAGATAAAAAAATCTTTTTACTAGTGTGCCATTTGATACATCCTTACCACCCAAAATATACAATTTATTATCAACGAATGTGGCAGTATGGCGGTATATAACATTTGGCTTAAATGGCGTTGATTGACAATTTACATCAACTAATACTTGAAGTAATATCCATAATAAGAAATAAATTAAAGAAAATTTTGACATTATTATATTTAAAAATTAACGGGTAGATACTAAAAATAAATATTCGAAGGAAAAATTTATCTTTTAATAAAAAAATTTTGGCGTATTAATTAATATTCTTAGAGTTACACCTAATATTTAAAGAAAGTAATCAATTAAGATGGAACACAAACACAAAATGTTTCAAGAAAATTCGTCTTAAAGTCATGTGGTTGCACCAAAATGAGGAAATAACACATTTATTTATTAACATTACTTTATTCTCACATGTATTGTACATTCGATATGGTTAAGTCAAAACTTACTAGTATGCTACTTTTATTAATCTTTAAACTCAAGAATTTGAAAATTAACAAAATTATTTAAAATTACATTACAAATTATATTAAATATAAATAAGCAGCGTAATGTTCATTTATAAAAATTTCCTGGGAACCATGACGACATAATTATAAATAATAAATAAAACCACGTGAAGAAATAAGTAACTAACTCTGCATAACCTAATTATTATTTATTTTGGTTAAAATTAATTCCTATTTCTGAGTATATATATTTTTATATTTAGTAATAATATAATGAGTTTGTTTATTTTGTTACCTTATTTATCGGAATAAAAACACGGATATTAATTTTTCCTGTTATATTCTCTAAATCTGTATTCTGTAATACAAAGATTTTAGATGATCCTGATTTAATGTTCTTAATTTTTATCATTTTTTAAACTTTACGGTATTTTGAAATGTTTTATACTTACGTTTTTTATATTCCTTTTTTTTTCCGAAGCTTTTTTAAAAAAATAAATAAAATTCTTTATTGTTTTCTAAAAGTATTACACCTTTTATATATATATATATTTTTTTTTTAATTTATTTTTTTTTTATGTTTTATATTTTTTTTTTACAAAAACAAACATTTTATCTGTTTTTTTTTTATTTTTTTTCTTAAAAAAAAACAAGGTCTCTTTATTTATTTACTTTTGTTTATTTCTTTTTTTTTTTTTCAGGGATGGCCTTAGACTTCAATCTGGACTTCGAAATTGCAAAGTGGATTGGTATTTCATTTTTTTTGATTTGGGAACGTTACTAACGTTCTTTTTTTTTAGGGAATATTTCTTGTAAGGAGAAAACGAATTAGATCCGGATTAGTCGGATCGGGATAAAGTTTAACCGACCTGATAGCCACCCGAATTTTTAGATCGGGTACCCGTTCCGATCAGGTAGCTCGAAAGTGATCGACTCGTGCCGAAATATTAAATAAAACTTCATGCACATCGGAAATAAATCCGAAAGAAAAAAAAATATTCCTTTTAATATAAATGATAACCTATTGATTTTTATTGGCCAAGAAATAGCGCGTGTATGAAATTATGAAACCAAAAAAATGGATAATTTACAACAAGATTATCATAAACAATTACTTTTTTTCTATTCGTTTTGAAATAAAAAGAAAATAAGAGTAGGCTTTTGCTGACATTATGTGTTAATTAGTTCCTTGGAGATTATATGAAACGTAATTTTTTTTTGTTTTTATAAATTAAAAATAATTTTTTTTATTGTAGGTTATTTTTGTCAATTCATTTGCTCATTTGGATTATTTGTATTAAACCCACGTTTCAGATAAACTCTTTTGTAATAGTTTGTAGATGATAATCAGAAATATGAAAAGGTATGGTTAAAATATTTTTTAATTTTGCTTTATTGAATACACGAACTAGACTAAATTTAGTTATTAAAAAAACGATTTTTTTTTAATTTTATGTTACCTGAGCAAAAATTTTTGATATTACGTAGTACAACAAGAACCTAACCTGTTCTAAAAAAGATATTCTAGCTATTTTAGCTATTTTTAGCCAAATAAAAAATAAAACTATCAATTCCATAACTTTTGATACAAGTAAACCAGGATAAACCTAAATTCCGTGGAATAATATCGGGCATACAACAAATGATAAATGCCAGATGCCAATATTCGTCATAAAGTAGACACGTCAGGAATCAGGATGGTAACGTAATACTAACGTTTCACGTAATTCTGTGTAAATAATTTCTCTCCATCCATCCTTTAAAAGAAAAAATCCTTTAAAATAAAATCAATTTCTATCTAATGATATAATTATATCCTAATGGAATGTAGAAATGTAGAATTTCAGGGTAAAATCAATATTCTGGGTTACAGTTCTCATAAAAGTTTGTAACACTATTAAAGAAACAATTTCGAAAGAATTATCGTTATTCGTTATTTAAAGTATAGTCATTCGTGAAATTCTATCGATAACAGATATTGATTTACATTATTTAAACGTTTATTTATGTTGTATTAGTTAATAAGTAGATGTCGAAACATTTGTTCAAAACATTATGATTAATAATATTTCTCGCAAATTAAAAAATATTCAACGTTAACACCTGAAATCAAATTATGAGAATCTTCAAATGCCGGGAATTTTCTGCTTTTTGAGGAAGTGGTCCACCACTAAGAATAACTTTAATTTGTGAATCAGACCACAAAAATTATACATTCATAATCATTCATAATCGATCTAATAATAAAAAAAAAAGTATAGTAAAAAAGAATTTATTATATTTGATTAAAAACTAAATTAATCGTTTCGGCCAAAATTATTGTAATCCGGGTAATGGCTTATAACTTAACAAAAATGATCGGCATCTACTATTTAATTAGCCCATTATAGAGAGTAAACCGGTCACGACGTTATTATCTAAAAAAAAAACAATGTTTTACGCAGTTGATGAGAATATCAAGATTATAAATATGAATTATGAACATGATCGATCGGCGTATGACATAACATTACATAAGAACTGTTTTATTCATTTAGAGAATTCATTTTTTAATGAATTACTATAAATATCTATCAATAAAAAAATTGATAATCCGAAAATATATTAGCAGATATATGTCTTTATTTGATATTTTGATGTACAATGTACATCTTATAATTGTGCTATAAATATGGAATATCCTTTAAATAGATATTAAAAACTCAAAATTATCACTAATATACTGACTTAGTTTAACAAATATTGACTTAAATATTGTGTTAGATGAAATTTAATATTCTCTTTTTGATCAAAGGTGAATACTAATCTTTCCTGTTCCATATTTTGACCAATTTCATGACCATAAATATTTTATTCAAATAATTAGTAATTGAGAAAGGAGGAATAATTTCACATATAATCTTGTAAAATCGATTATCGTATTGTTGTTGGTAATAAAAAATATATTCATATTCATTAGTTTGAATACAAAATTCGTTATTATTTAATAAAGAAATAATGGTATTATAAGGAACTTCAATACAGGAAATATGATAATGATACAAATCATTTGGTGGTTTATAATAAAAGATATTAGGGATAAATTGAATCTGATTTTGATAAGAATTAATTATAATCTGCCGCGGCGCAGAAGTTACATTATCACTATCTGATGCATCTGATGAATACATATTTGCAATGATAAGATAAAATATGGATTTTTCTACGAGTTAATAGCACACATTTATATTGATTTCTGGTTTTGAGGGGTTTATTGATTTTAGGGTACAAATACGTCCGAGATGTTTAATTTTCGTTCAGAAAAAACAATTTTATCAGTAGTTTTATGAAAAATGCTACATTTGGTTATTAAATGCTCGCTATTCCGATATTTACCAACTATTTTAATCATGTTTTAAAAAAGTTTAGCACTTACAAGAATTTAAATATTGCATTAACTTTTTTAAAATAAACTAAATTTAAACAAACAATATGTACTATATAACTTATTATTTTATTCGAAACTCTCTACCCTTATTTATATATATTCGTGGAAAGTATTAAAAGGTTATTTGCTAAATTAGTGTAAACTATTTATGATATCAAATAATAAAACTAATTTAGAATGTTTTTTTTCCTCGTAAATGAAGCTAATTTTGATTAAACAAAAATTTTGAAAATATTGTCAATAGATCATGAAATATCATTTTAAATAATTTCCTAATTAAACATTTTATGAAAGAAATTATGAAACTTGCCAAGAAGTTTTATTCAGAAGGAGACTTAAGATTATTTTTAAATTATTAATAATCAACATATTTTCGTTCGATTGGTTAATTTTGTACGGATAAAATATTTTGCTTTACGCTCTAAAATTTTTTTTAACCACTTAAAGAGTGTAAATATGTATTGTAATTACGTTTTAGATTGGTACAGTAGTACAAATACATATATATTCCCTTTTTACGTCCGTAAATAAAAATTCACCATATTTGGTTACTATGATCAACACAATGTCTAGACATCATTGCTCTTAAGACACGACAACTAACGATACGTCGATACGGTCTCACGTGGCTGCATTATTTTTTTTTTTAAATTTAAAAAAAAAATTCTTGTAGTTTTAGTTAATTTATTTTATATTTCCGGATAATGTCTTGATGTACAACCATCATCCTACATATGCCCGATATGATGTTAATATAATATTATGTTTATGTGTAAGAAAATGTATCATGAAGCGCCGAAATAGTTACATTAGACAAATTCATAATGATTTATTATCCACTCCTTTTACTGCAATTAGTACCATAAATTTTATGATCAAGAAATTCAACTAATCTTATAGTGTTTCAGATCAACTACTCCTTTATTCAAGGACACCATTAGTGAAGAAGAGGTGCAGGCTAAGAATAAAGCAATGGAACATCACAATGAAGAAGTTTTTGCTCCATTACATAATACGAAGCCGAAATAGTTTGCGACTTACACTAATTCGAAAATAAAAAAACTAATTTTTAAATATTAACTACCTGCCTTTTATTATTCTTAACGAAAATAAAGAAAATCTATACTTTTTAATTAAAAAAATCAAATCGAAATTCATTTGTGACTAAAAGTGATTTTTACCCATTTGTCCAGTAGTATTTCAGTTTACCGGCAAGGTCATGTTGTTTAGTCAAACTCAATCAGCCTGTTTTTTTAACTTTTGGATATCGGACTGTCCAATTGGATGAAATGCCTGGAGAATTTACAATCATAAAACTTAAATTTTTGTTTATTTAGTTAGTATCAAAATACTGTTATTTGCATATGCTAATTTAAAGTTTTGTTCAATTACAAATTGATTTTATTGTACGAAAAATACAAATTACTCTATAATCAATGTTAAACAAAAACCAATTTTATATTATCTTTAATATAATAACAAAAAATAGAGTGTAGAAGTTTTCTTCTTAAATCTAGAAAGTATTATTTTTTTTACTGATAAACTAAGAGATAAAAGTTTGCTTAATTAATTCCTACAATTCCTTTCATTTATATATGATTTTAAATATATAGAATATATAGACAATTATTTTCATAGTATGAAATAAAAATAAGAAATGAGAATAAGTATTAGTTGTTTACTACGTATGGCCATAGTAAATAACTTTCTTATCATCCTGCTGGACGGGAATTTAGTTGATCAGTGATCACTATATAAAATAAACTATTTTAACTATTTTAGACTTTTGTGTGTTTGTGTATTCGTTAGCTTGATAAAACTTTTTTCTTCTTCTTATTTGAAGGGAATGTAAGTTCATATCACTAATTGTAATGTAACTATAAATATTAGTATTAAGATGCATTATAATAATAGCAAACCAATAAAAATCAATAAATTGTAACTATTCAATTAAACTATAACTATTATAGCTTATCATACTGGTTACATAGTTTATAAACGGCAAAAAAATACTAGATGCCCGGTAATAAAAAACAAACTTATTCCGTAAAATCAGTAATTTCTACCGTACTATTACTGAAAAGATTTTTTGTAAAGGGATTAAGTAATCGAGATGTATAAATAGCTTGAACATGAGTTGTTGATTTGTTGTTATTTTTAATTGATAAGAGATTTTCTTTTCTATATTCTTGTGTTTTCTTAAATTGTTCTTCAATTTCGTAGTGTTGTTTATTTTTCTTGAATTTTTGATCTAATGAATTATAAAATAATTCAATAATTTCTTTTACTTCAATAGAATTTGGTCTATTTTCTGGGTTTAAATCCCAACACCTTTTCATTAAATCAATATAACATTTTGGCGCAATTTTCTCATTGATTTCAGGTCTAATCCCATTACATATATTTAATACCAAAACCTGATCATGAGCACAATCATCAAAAGGTTGTCTTCCAGCTGCTACAAAATGCATAACCATACCAAAACTATATATATCTGCTGCTTGAGTATAAGGTTTTCCTCTTAATACTTCAGGAGCTACATATGGCATAACTCCATAAATACTTGCTTCGTCAATATCATCAATTTTTCTACATAATCCCATATCAGATATACATGCATTATAATTATTATCATTATCATTATTATTTTCGTGTGAGGAATAAATGTGAAAATCATTTAAAATTTCTTGCTTTGTAATCAATATGTTTCCTATGTGAAAATCACGATGAACCATCTGTTTTTGATGAATCTCACTAAGGCCATTAATAATATTAGTTAACACTTTTAATCCATTAAACCAATCAAAACTTTCATAATTCTTATCTAAATAATTATCGAAACTTCCTCCTTCAGCATATTCAAAAACCATAATATAATTTTTTGTATTTGGATCTTGAGATATTCCATATATTTTAAGAATATTTTCTATTTTTTGATTTGGATATGCTTTAACCTATTGAATAATATTTTAATATACAATATATATAAATGTTACTTTGCAAAAATAATTAAATTACAATGAAATTTCATACCTCATTTATAAACTCATCAAGGAAATTTTGTGAATTATGTAAACATTTTAAAGCAACTCTTGTATTTGGTTTTCTTCGCCAATATCCACCAGTATCACTTTCATGTAATAAGCCATCTTTCCATATTGCTGAATATACTGTAGAAAAACCACCTTTGCCTATTTCTTTAAGATCATAAAACTGATCATATGGCACCCATTCAAATATAACACCAAAATAATAAGAGTTATAATTAATATTTAATTTCATTTCTTGAATCAAATCACTAATTTTTTTATTTTCATGGCTGGTTTGACATAACATACAGCTTTTGTTATTTATTTCAAACTTATTGTTGTATTTTTTATAACAGTATATACAATAATATTTATCTTGAAGAACTAAAATAAAATCTTTTGTAATTGGATTTTGAGATATGCCATAACTTTCCTTTATTGAATACATGATCTGTTGTATATAATAAAATATTATATTAATAATTGATAATAATTAAAGATACATTTATAGAAATTTCATACCTCATTTAAACATTTATTATTAAAATCTTGTGAATTATAGAGGCATTTTAATAAAACTTTCTCATTTAATTTCCTTTTAAATTTCCTACTTATTTTACTATAATATAATAGACCATCTTTCCATACTGCTGTAGTAAATACACATTTTCCCATTTCATCACTAATATCAATAAACTTGTTATATGGTATCCATTCAAATACTGCATCCTCATAGCCATTAATCTTTAATTGCATTTTTTGAATGAAATTATCGATTTGTCCATTTCCACTAGTCCAGTTTGTAAAATCATTTTTTAAATAATTTATTTGGCATGATCTACACCATTTGTCATATTTATTTACATATATATTACCACATTTTTCACAATACTCTTCAAAATATTCACAATTCAATATTAAAATATAATCTTTTGTATCTGGATTTTGAGATATTCCATAACACCCATAAGTTGGTTTAAATTTTGTACTAATGTTATAATAAGAATAATCCAAGAAAGATTCTACCTAATAAAAATATAAAAGAAATTAATATTATATTAATATTCATATTAAATTAATAGGAAATTTAATACCTTATTTATAAATAATTCATCAATAACATTTTGTGAATTATATAAATATTTTAAACAAACTTTTTCATGTGACGTTCTCATCCATTTTATTTCATAAGTATTGTAACATAATGGGCCTTCTTTCCATATTGCTGTAGTTAAACAATTATTTCCTATTTCTTTGATATCAATAAACTCATTGTATGATATCCATTCAAATATAACAGAAGTTTTAATACCAACTTCTAATTGCATTTTTTGAATGGAATTATCAATCTTTTCATTTCCACTGGTCCATTTTGTATAATTAATTTTTAAATCATTTATTAGACATGATTCACAAAACGCATGATCTAATTTTGTATATTCTTTATCACATTCTTTGCAATATTTATTATAATATGTAATATGAATCACCAATATATAATCTTTTGTATTCGGATTTTGAGAAATTCCATAAATTAGTACATATGATACTGTAGCCTAGTTAAATATATAAAGAAGAAACAAATTATTATCTAGCAAATAAATAAATATATATTGAAAATTCATACCTTATTTAGAAATTCATCAGTAAGATTTTGTGAATTAGATAAGCATTTTAATACAACCTTTTTATATGAATTTCTCATCCATTCCTTCTCAAAATTATCATAATATAGTGGACCTTCCTTCCAAATTGCTGTAGACAATTCACCTTTTCCTATTTCTTTAATTTCAATTAACTCATTGTATGGTATCCATTCAAATATTAAATCAAAACTTGTCATAACATTTAATTGCTTCTTTTGAATAAAATTATCAATTTTCTCGTCTCCACTGGTCCAGTTGATAAAATTATCTTTTAATTGATTTATATGACATGATTTGCACCATTTTCTTGCTAAATCCATTTCTAAATTATATTCAGAATTATAATCTTTAAGATGATAATCATATCGTATACCACATTTTTCACAATAAAAGACAAAATATTCTTTGCCAAAAATCAAAATATAATCTCTTGTAACTGGATTTTGAGAAATTCCATAGTCTTCCTTATTGTCTAGTAAGAAATATGATTTAACCTATTAAAATACAGTAGGAAATTAATATTATACTAATATTCAAATTAAATACGTAAAAAATTTTATTACCTCATTTATAAATTCATTTGTAATATTTTCTGAGTCATATAAAAATCTTAATACAACTTTTTCATATGATGATCTTATCCATTCCTCTTCATCTTTATCATAACTCAATGGACCATCCTTCCATATTGCTGTAGCAATATCACTTTTTTCTAATATTTTAATTCCAATAAACTTATCATATGGTATCCATTCGAATACTACTTTTCTATTATTTCTATTATAACCTGGGACATATTCTAATTGCTTTTCCTGAATGAAATTATCAAATATTTCATTCCCACTGGTCCAATTTGCAAAATTTTTTGAAAGAAATTCCATTGAATATTAAAATTTTTGGACAGAGAATAAAATGTAATTACCCCCCAAAGATTAGTATACAAAGAAAATTGGCGTAAATTGTGTTGCATGTCACAAGTAATGAACAACATATATATTTGATCACATGATCAAATTTACACAAGATTTTGTGAAGTCACGTGACTTTAACCAACAAATGCAATGTGCAAAGGTGACTTCCAATCATTTGTCTGGAACTGTTTTTGTACACTTTTGTGCTTGTCAATGTTATAGGACTCCGCCTAATATAGTGACTTATAATATTTTGTTATAATACTGTGTGGCTAATATCAACGTGATTTAACTTTGAATATTATGCTCTTTTAGCTTAGCTCACAGTATAAAATTATTTCTATTGTCATTTTTTTATATAGCCTTCAGTTCTAAGTCACTTTTTCTTGAAAATTCTTATGTAGGTGGTTGTGTAGAAAAAATTAACTATGATCGCGTAATTCTGCTCCGCCCCTTTTGGTAAACGAAATTCTCTATTTTCCATATTAAACAAAAAATCATAAATTACCGGAAAATTTCCTTGTAATTCGTGTGAAAATAGCCATCATTGAACTTGTGAAAGTAATTTTTTATATCATAGCTAAATTGAATTAATCTAAATATATATGGATAAAATTACGGTACTTACATATTATTTAAATATGACAAGAATCTGATTTTTATTATATAAAAAAATGTATACATGTTACTCTAAAATAAAAACATTCTTAAACACAAAATAATCAATTTTAACAAAGATTTAAATATAATAAGAATTTCATTTCAAATATAAATAGTATTATTTTATTACAAATTGAGAGAACAAAATTTAATTAAATAATTCCTACAATTCTCAAAATTTTTTTTTGCATCTATATATTCTTTTTTCTTTAATCTTTTATTCTTAATTTTAAATAAAATAATAGTAAATAAAAAAACATTTGTTTTGTACTTTTTGTGGATGATACGGTGACCTATTTTAAAACTCTCATTTTTTAGAGACGATAATGTTAAATGAACCCTTCACATTAATCAATGATTTCTATTGTATTACTACTAAAAAGACATTTCATAAATGGATTAAGTAATCGAGATTTATAAATAGCTTGTGCATGAGTTGTTGATTTGTTGTTTTTGATTGATAAAAGATTCACTTTTCTAGATCTTTGTGTTTGTTTAAATTGTTTTTCAATTTCATAGTGTTGATGTCTCTCATTCTTAAATTCTTGATTTAATGAATTATAAAATAATTCAATTATTTCTTTTATTTCAGTAGAATTTGGTCTATTATTTGGATTTCCATCCCAACACTTTTTCATTAAATCAATATAACATTTTGGCGCAATTTTCTCATTGATTTCGGGTCTAATCCCATTACAGATATTTAATACCAAAACCTCATCATGAGCACAATCAGCAAAGGGTTGTCCTCCAGTTGCCACAACATACATTATCATACCGAAACTAAATATATCTGCAGCTTGAGTGTAGGGTTTTCCTTTTAATACTTCAGGAGCTACATAAGGTATAACTCCATAAACATTTGATTCATCATCATCATCAATTTTTCTATACAAACTCATGTCAGAAATACATGCATTAAAATTATTATTCATAAATAATATATTCCCCATATGAAAATCATGATGAACCATCTGTTTTTCATGGATTTTATTAAGACCTCCAATAATATTAGTTAATACTTTTAACCCAATAAACCAATCAAACCTTTCGTAATTTTTTTCCAAATAATTATTGAAATTTCCACCTTCTGCATATTCAAGAACCATAATATGATCTTTTGTATTTGGATTTTGTGATATTCCATACAATTTAATTATATTATTCATCTTTTGATTTTGATATTCTTTAACCTATTAAATATACATTAACATATATAAAAATTACTCTGGTAAATAATTATAAAGAAATCATACCTTATTTATAAACTTATCGATAAAATTTTGTGAATTATGTAACCATTTTAAAGCAACTCTTGTATTTGGTTTTCTTTGCCAATATTTTCCTCCAATAGAATCTCTTTTATTATGAAATAATAAACCATCTTTCCATATTGCTGAATATACCGTAGAAAAACCACCTTTTCCTATTTCTTTAATATTACTAAACTGATCATATGGTATCCATTCAAACATCATATCAAATTCATCAGAGTTATGATCAATGCTTAATTTCATTTCTTGAACCAAATCACCAATTTTTTTATTTTCATGGTTGGTTTGACATAACATACAGCTTTTATATTTTATTTCAAACTCATTGTTGTATTTTTTATAACAGTTTATACAATAATATTTATCCTGAAGTACTAAAATAAAATCTTTTGTAATTGGATTTTGAGATATACCATAACTCTCCTTTATTGAATACATAATCTGTTATAATAAAATATTATATTAATAATTGATGATAATTAAGATATATTTACAGAAATTTCATACCTCATTTAAAAATTTCTTATTAACGTTTTGTGAATTATAGAGATATTTTAGTAAAACTTTACCATTTAATTTCCTTTTATATTTTTTGTCTATATTACTGTAATATAATGGACCATCTTTCCATATTGCCCTGGCAAATCCACTTTTTCCTGTTTCATTAATATCAATGAACTTGTTATATGGTATCCATTCAAATATTTCATTTTGACATGTATTATTTATTTTTAATTGCATTTTTTGAATGAAATCATCGATTTTCTCATTTCCACTGGTCCAGTTTGTAAAATCATTCTTTAAATAATTTATTAGACATAAACTACACCATTTGTAATATTTATTTTCATATTTATTGCCACATTTTTCACAATACTCTTCAAAATATTCACAATTAAAAATTAAAATATAATCTTTTGTGTCTGGATTTTGAGATATTCCATAACACCCATAAATTGGTTTATCATCTGTACTAATGTTACAATAAGAATAATCCAAGAAAGATTCCGCCTAATAATATAAAAGAAAATTAACATTATATTAATATTCAAACTATGTTAATAGAAATTTTAATACCTTATTTATAATTTCGTCAGTGACGTTTTGTGAATTATGTAAATATCTTAAACAAACTTTTTCGTATGATGCTCTAACCCACTCCTTTTTATATGTATCATAATATGATGGACCTTCCTTCCAAATTGCTGTAGTTAAACAACTATCTCCTATTTCTTTGATATAAATAAGCTCGGTATATGGTACCCATTCAAATATTATGGTATTTTCATTACTCATTTTCAATTGTTTTTCTTGAATGAAATCATCAATTTTTTTGTCTCCACTGGTCCAATTTATAAAATTATTTTTTAAATAATTTATTAGACATGATCTACAGCATTTATGATTTAATTTTGTATATTCTTTATCACATTCTTTGCAATATTTATTATAATATTTATTATGAACCACCAAAATATAATCTTTTGTATTCGGATTTTGAGATATCCCATAACATTTATATGATACAGTAACCTATTTAAATATACAAAAAAAAAAATAAATTATTATCTAGAAAATAAATTGATGGTTTGAGAAATTCGTACTTCATTTACCTCATTAAAAAATTCATCAGTAAAATCTTGTGGGTTAAATAAATATTTTAATACAACACCTTTATATGAATCTCTTATCCATTCCTTTCTAATATTGACAAAATATAGTGGACCTTCCTTCCAAATTGCTACACAGAATCCTTTTCCTAGTTCTTTAATTTCAACTAATTCGTTATATGGTATCCATTCAAATATTAAATCATACCTTCCTTTAATATTTAATTGCTTCTTTTGAATAAAATTATCAATTTTCTCATCTTCACTGGTCCAGTTAATAAAATTATCTTTAAAATGATTTATATGACATGATTTACACCATTTTCCATCATGATAATTACCATATCTTTCACCACATTTTTTACAATAAGAGGCTAAATAATCATCGTAAAAAACCAAAATATAATCTTTTGTGACTGGATTCTGGGATATCCCATAATCTCCGTCATAATTTAGTAAATATGATTCAATCTATTAAAATTCAAAGAAATTAATATCATACTAATATTCAAATTAAACTTGTAAAAAAATTTATTACCTTTTTTATAAATTCATTAGTAATATTTTCTGAGTAATATAAAGTTTTTAATATAACTTTTTCATATGATGATCTTATACATTCCTCTCCATAATAAAATAATGGACCTTCCTTCCATATTGCTGTAGAAAAACCTCCTTCTCCTATCTCTTTAATTTCAATAAACTTATCGTATGATATCCATTCAAATACTGCCGTTCGATCACTATATTTTAATTGCTTTTCTTGAATGAAATTATCAATTATTTCATTCCCACTTGTCCAATTTGCAAAATTGTTTGTAAGAAATTCCATTGAAAATAAAATTTTTGAACGTTAATGATCACCCTTGCTTGTATTTATAAAAAATCAGTACCAAATTTGGTTACAAGGAAAATATGGCGTAATATTGTAACACATTTCTATTTTTATAGTTAATAGTAGTGTACCAGTAATGAATGGACCATTATATTTAATCACGGGATCCAATTTAGGGAACGTATTTAAACATAACGTTCAACTTAGATGTGCAAGTTTGTACTGAAAATTTAAAACAATCCAATTTATTAAAATATTAAGTAAAAAAATATATGTACGGAAAGTAACGATATTTAGTTACTTCAATAATTTAATTACAACCCCACTATCCAACTTTAACAAAGAAATACTGTATAAAAAAAACTGGAACTAAAAAATTATTTACCTTGCAAATTTAATGAATGAAAAAGTCATAATGTAAGTATAACAATTACGAGCTCAAAGCTAATAATTAAATATTTTAATCGTAAAAAAAAAAGTTTCAAGAACTAATATTGAAGCCGTTAGCCAAATTATAGTGCAACGTAGTTTATGTAATGACACGAGTTATTTTTAATCACATGACCACTAAAAGTCTTAAAATGCGTCTTTATTATTTTTAAAACTTTTTAAGCTGATCGCTAGATAATATTTTGAATAAAAATTTTATAATCAAGAATTATATAAAAAAAATTAAGCCATGCAATGGGTCCAGTTAGCATATAATAATATTTAAAAATTGCGAGGATTTTTTTTTGCTACCCCCATTATTAACGAGTCGAAGGGAAAATGAGCAATTATACAGGGGAAAAAATAGTCCATTACTGTTCACAATGGAGTAATGAACCGACACAAAAAATATCAATTAAAATAAATTAGACGTTAACTGTTAAGCTATATTAAGCATTGCGTGATGTTCAAGTGTTTTATTTTTATCTACTTCGTTAGCTGATATAAGAATTTGACATTTTATTGTTCTGATTATGAAAATTAATTTATTGCCGTACTAATCATAATAAAATTCTTATGAAAACACAATGTCACGACGAAAATTATATACAGTATGTGATTTATTTGAAATTTCTTTTTTATCTCATCCTTGGTAACAATCAACAAAGATCAATAAATTATGCAATATTTTGACGGCGTATCGACGATTCCATAGGAATTGATGCATACTATCTACCTTCTCAACTACGGCCTGAAATGTTTCACTCCATTTTCTTTCAGGTAGCGCTCATTTACCCATCGTATGTTAGCATATAAGCCCATAGGCCCGTCCTGGTCTATTTTTACGTACATAAATATTTTGAAATTTCTTCTGTTGCTTAATAGTTGCTGAGTTCGGTGTGTCCCATTCCATTTACTCATTGAGTATTTTTTTTTCTGACTTCGACGGCAATCATAAATCATGATGTCACGATTGATCACGTACTTTCTTGTGATATCATGTGATCAGTGATGACGGATTTTGCTGGAACTTTCTTTTTGTAGATGATTGCGTGGATGGTCATCGGTGCTTGTCAATCTTCTGTACTTGAAGTCTTACAAGATTTAGACTCCTTCTTGCCTTTAGAAGGTTTGGCTTCCGATGATTCATTGATTCACCCAGTTTCATCCGTGATGAATCCGATTGGTTTTCTATGTTTTCCGTGTTCGTCATACAATCGCTTTGCTGCGCCACATAATCATCTTGTTATCCATCTTTTGCGTGAGGATGTTGTATTTCTGCGTATGCTTGCATAGCTAATTCACATCCAACAGGACTATGAAAAGTTCGAAATTTGTGTGTAAGTAGCTTGTTCACAAAATTTCGATATTAATTTTATACCAAAATCTTAAGAGCGCTAGTTGGTCCCTCATAGTTTTTGGTGAGAAAGTCATGAAATTTTGATAATATTGATAATATTGAAAAATTTCATACTTTCCAACAAACGGAAAATTTTATTTAGTTCTTGCTGAAAACTGACGGTTCATAATAATTTATTTTTTTCAAAAAAAAAAAAAAAAATACTTATATTTTTTTGCTGCGGATTTTTAACAAAAATAGATTTTTGTATTCTCCATCATAAAATTTAATCAATAATTCACGTTCCTGGTCTCTGTTATGATAATTATTATTTTATATATAATATACAGTAGTTAGCTCATTTTTATAACGAATTTGGCGTCCATATCAGGCATAGTCTAGATAAATTTGACATATTGTTTATATTAATACGATCTTAAAGAAAATTTGTTGTAAATAAAGTCATTAATTATTTATGGTTAAATAGTGTACAGCTTCTAATTAGCTTATATATTAAAACCAGCACTACACTCAAATCCTTGATGTTAAAAATTTGTTTAACCAAAGTTTGTCATAAGGTCGTTCAATTGTATAGCATTATTTGCATTAAAAAATTCTCTTGCTAAAACAAGCGGTAAAAATAAACCACGGAAATGTTTCAGTTAATACATAGTGACAACTATAACCACCTTTTACTCCTATATTTATAGGAGATTTTCTCCGGTTAAACGCACGTAGTTATTTGCTCATAACTGAAAAATAGATACAGTAGTATATGTTTCCTTATTATTTAATAATCTATGTTCGATTATGTTTTAAATCGGAAACTCTTTATTTCAAAAGTTGTAGTTATGAAACTATACCATATGAGGAAGGTATTTATGATACATATCTGGACCTACAACAATTGGATATTCTTTGACGTAGTTAAATGTAACAATATCGCTCAAAATTACTATTAATCCACTAACAAACAAAGAAACGATGTGATGATACATTTACAAAACGTAAGATAATCAATCATATTACTTTTATAATAACAATTAAATGAGAGCGATATAAATATTAAGGAACATTAGAGCATAAACATTCAACCTGATCGCAATCGAATAAGAAAATTGTTTTATCGTTAAACAGATTTTTTTTTTAAATATATTTTGTTGACATTCTTTAGAAAACTGGTTGTTGGTGATAAGCGTGATTACGTGACTGATCCTTATCATTCATATAATTGTGTTTAAATTATGTTTATATTATTTTTTTAAACTAATATTTTTGATTTTCTTATTGGTTATCCTGCTATTTATTAATTTGATCGTTATACGTAATTTAATATATAAATTTAAATAAAACTTCAAAAGTTGATTCGCTTTTCTAAATTTATAATCATACAAAGTCAACTATTTTTTTTTACATCGGTCCGTTGTGAAGTGTCCAGTTGAGTAATAATATATAAGCCAGTCAGCAATATAAACAAATTCTCGTATCAGTTTAACAACTTAAAAATTAAAATACTATTTTTGGCTTCTCTTATATGAAGAACTTAAATAGTATCTAAATTAAATGAAACTTTCATTATTATCTTGAAATATAATTATTTATTTACTAAGATTTGGTTATAGTCAATTAATACTAGAGATAAAAATATATTGTATTAAAATAATTGTATAGGTATTGAAATTCTAGGAAATCTCTAAATCCGGTCTCTCAAAAGCGACATTTTTAGAAGTTTGTTTTAAGAACTTAATAATAAAAAACTATACATTTACAATTACAAATCCAAGATAAATATTTATCTAGTCAAATTCAAATATATGGACTGAAACACTTTATTAATAATTATGAAATTTGCTATTATCTTTATACTGTAAATTTAAAGTTTTGTTCAATTACAAACTGATCTTTATTATATAAAAAGATGTTTACATATTACTCTATAATCAGTGTTAAACAAAAGCTAACTAGTATATATTTTAAATAATAAATGGTAACAAAAAATGATGAGCAAAAAATGAAAAACAAAAAATCGAATAAGCAAAGTAAGTTGTTCTTATATCTGGAATTAATATTTCTTTCCTTTTTTTTTGGCTGTTAAACTAAAATATGGCAAATTACTTCATGATATATAAATGAGCTTTTAACACTCCTTTTACATTAAAATTTAGACCATTATTTCTAAGAAATTTACAAGCTATAAAATAAAGTAAGAATAAGAAATGAGACAAATAAAAAAATAGCAAAATAAAAAATACACTTACTTTGTAAAATCAGTAATTTCTACTGTACTGGAAATATTTTTTGTATAAGGGTTAAGTAATCGAGATCTATAAATAGCTTGTGTATGGGTAGTTGATTTGTTTTTCTTAATTGATAAAAGATATTCTTTTCTATATTCTTGTGTTTCTTCAAATTTTTCCTTAATTTCATCAAGTTGTTGTATATTTTTTAGTATACTTTTTTGATATTCTCTATTTTTTTGATCTAATGAATTATAAAATAATTCAATCATTTCTTTTATTTCAATAGAATTTGGTCTATTACCTGGATTTCCATCCCAACACTTTTTCATTAAATTAATATAACATTTTGGTGCAATTTTTTCATTTATCTCAGGTCTAATCTCATTACATATTTTTAATACTAAAAACTCATCATGAGCACAATCATCAAAAGGTTGTCTTCCAGTTGCTACAACATACATAATCATACCAAAGCTATATATATCTGCTGCTTGAGTATAAGGCTTTCCTTTTAACACTTCGGGAGCTACATATGGCATAACTCCATAAATATTTGCTTCATTAATATCATCAATTTTTTTACATAACCCCATGTCAGAAATATGTGCTAAATTATTATTCATAAATAATATATTTCCTGTATGAAAATCACGATGAACCATCTGCTTTTGATGAATTCCATTAAGACTTTTAGCAATATTATTCAATACCTTTAATCCATTAAACCAATCAAACTTTTCATAATTCTTATTTAAATAATTATTGAAATCTCCTCCTTCAGCATATTCAAAAACCATAATATAATCTTTTGTATTTGGATTTTGAGATATTCCATATATTTTAAGAATATTGCCTATACTACTATTTGAGTATACTTTAACCTATTATATAACATAAATATATATTAATATAAATTCCTTTGTTAAAAAATGCTTAAATTATAAAGAAATTTATACCTCATTTATAAATTCATCAAGAAAATTTTGTGAATTATTTAAATATTTTAAAGCAACTTTCGTATTTGGTATTCTAATTTTATTTATACTATCTAATAAACCATTTTTCCATATTGCTGAATATACTATAGAAAAGCCCCCTTTACCTATTTCTTTAATATCATCAAACTGATCATATGGTATCCACTCAAATACTACTTTAGAATAATAATAATCAACATTCAATTTCATTTCCTGAATCAAATCATTAATTTTTTTATTTTCACATTTTGTTTGACATGATATACAGCTTTTATTATCTATTTCAAACTTATAATTGTATTTTTTACCACAATTTTTGCAATAATATTTAAATTGAAGAACCAAAATAGAATCATTTGTATTTGGATCTTGAGATATACCATAACTTTCCTCAACTAAATAAGTAATCTGTTATATAATACAATAAATTTTCGTATTAATAAATAAAATGATTATTAATAATTAAAATTAAACTTCATACCTCATTTAAAAATTTATTATTAATGTTTTGTGAACCATATAGATATTTTAATAAAACTTCCTCATTTAATTTCCTTTTATATTTCTTGTTAGATATACTATAATATAATGGGCCATCTTTCCATATTGCTGTAAAAAAGCCACCTTTTTCAGTTTCATTAATTTCAATAAACTTATTGTATGGTATCCATTCAAATATTGTATCTTTATACTCATTAATCATTAATTGGTTTTTTTGAATTAGACTATCAATTTTTTCATTTCCGCTAGTCCAGTTTGTAAAATTATCTTTTAAATGATTTATTTGACATAATTTACACCATTTTTCATATTCATTATCACATTTTTCATATTCATTACCACATTTTTCACAATAATAGTCAAAATATTCAATATTAAAAACCAAAATATAATCTCTTGTATCTGGGTTTTGAGACACTCCATAGTCCATTTTATTTGTTAAATATGATTCAATCTAATAAATATAAAATAATTAATATTATATTAAAAATAAATATTTAAAACAATTTAATACCTTATTATTTATAAATTCATCAGTAACATTTTGAGAATAACTGAGATATTTTAAAAAAACTTTTTTGGATAATGTTCTCATCCATTTCTTTTCATGAGTATTATAAATTAAAGGACCTTCTTTCCATATTGCTGTAGTTAAGCAATTATCTCCAACTTTTTTGATTTCAATAAACTTATTATATGGTATCCATTCAAATATATTAGAACTTTCAATACTAGTTTTTAATTGCCTTTTTCGAATGAAATCATCAATTTTTTCATTTCCACTGGTCCAATTTATAAGATTACTTCCTAGATATTTTATTAAGCATGATTCACAACACTTATGGTTTAATTTTGTATATTCTTTATCACATTCTTTGCAATATTTATTATAATATTTATTATGAACCACCAAAATATAATCTTTTGTATTTGGATTTTGAGATATTCCATAACAATCAATTGAAGTAGTAGCCTATTTAAATATAAGAAAAAAATATTAATATCTTAAAAAATAAATAAGCTACATTTAAAGAAATACAAACCTCATTTAAAGATTCATCAGTAATATTTTGCGAGTCAGATAAATATTTTAATACAACTTTTTTAGGTTCTTTAATCCATTCCTTTTCAACAACATCATAATGCAGTGAACCTTCCTTCCAAATTTCTACAAAAAATCCAACTTTTCCTATTTCTTTAATTTCAACTAACTCATTGTATGGTATCCAATCGAATATTAAATCATAACTTGTCTTAATATTTAATTGCTTCATTTGAATAAAATTATCAATTATTTCATTTCCACTAGTCCAGTTTGTAAAATTATTTTTTAAATAATTTACATGACATGATTTACACCATTTATGATTTCGATCTATCCAATAACGATCATAATTTTTATGATCTCGATCTATCCAATAACGATCATAATTTTTATAATCATCAAAAATATATTTATATTGTTCTCCACATCTTTCACAGTAATAATTATTGTTTAAAACTAAAATATAATTTCTTGTATCTGGATTTTGAGATATTCCATAATCCGAGTAAGAATCATCTAATAAATATGATTTAATCTATCAAAATACAAAAGAAATTAATATTATACTAATATCAAAATAAATTCGTAAAAAATTTTATTACCTTATTTATAAATTCATCAGTAATATTTTCTGAGTCAGATAAAAATCTTAATATAACTTTTTCATATGATGTTCTTATCCATTCCTCTTCATTTTTATCATAACTTAATGAACCATCCCTCCATATTGCTGTGGCAAAATCACTTTCTTCTATCTTTTCAATTTCAATAAACTTATCGTATGGTATCCATTCGAATGCTACACCATATTTGTATTTTGATTGCTTTTCCTGAATGAAATTATCAATTATTTCATTCCCACTGGTCAAATTTGCAAAATTTTTTGTAAGAAATTCCATTGAATAAAAAATTTTTGAACGTAAAGAATGAAAAATAATAACTTATTTGGTTACAAAAAAAATATGGCGTAATAGTGTAGCATACTACTATTTTGAGTAACGAGTGACATACAAAATTGATCACGTGATACAATGTGTAAAGTCTATTTTCATAAATAGCGTTCAAACTTCAAGGCCTTTCTGAGAAAACTCGTAGATAATGAACATAAAGTATTTAGAATATATGCAATTATATACTAAAAGAACGTTAAAAATTTTATTTATACAAATTTAAAATAATTCAATATATTGAAATAAGAATGATAATAATTTAGATTTTAGACACGCGCTTTCCAACTTATAAAATAAGAAATATACAGTATAATGACAAATCATCGAACAAATTTTTTATTTATAATAAAAAAAATTTTCAATTAAAAAAATAACTTAATTTATTTATTAAGTATTTCATTTATAAAAAAGCTTTTTAAGAACGATATCAAAATCAAATATTGTCCAATTTATAATAATTAATTTAAACTAAATACAAGCTTGGTTAAGCTATATTATACAAGAGATAGCTCAATTCGGGTATAAATCATAACCAAAGTTTTTGTATATAATATTCAAAATATTAAACACATTAAAAAACCTGTTAGCAAAGTTTTTTTCTTCATTTGTTAAATATAATTTACGTCAAAAGATGAAATTTTAGAAATTAAAAAGTTGTTGCGTTGATTTGTCATGAATGTAACATCATGATTTCGCTAGCACATTTTATCCATATTTTCTCCTGCTAACCACAAATAGCTATGGAAACTATTTAATATTGACAACCAAAGATTTTTATATATATATCCTTTAAATTTAATTTGGCTTTATACACATTATTAAAAAAATATATAAGCATTTGATTAATAATAAATAATAATTGAAGACAAACTTTAAAAGGAACCATAAAAAATAAACACATGACTTAATTTTCATAAACTTACTTTAACCTAAATGAGTATTTAATTTCTATATTTATTAAATATTTAATATTCTATATAGTAAATTTATGTACTAATTTTAATATCTAATTTCATACCCATGAAAACAGTATTTTTAAGCGAATATATAATAAAATAGTACTGTACGGTACTACAAATTTGGACAGACGTTCGAAAAAAATTTAATTTTTCCGTACTCAGACGGACTATTAAAAATAAATTCGTACTAATATATATATTTGTAATGTAATGATTTTAACGTTTTGTTTACTATATACTGTATTTGTCATAAATATCTCTTTTTAATCTTTACTGCTTTGAAGAAGAAAAATAATTGTAAATATGAATATTGATAATATATCCGATGTTGAAGACTTTCCAACTGAATTGGTAATTCCTGAATTTGAACAGGTTTATATAATTATTATGACTTTATGAGTCAATCTTATTATTATAGAGCTAAATATTATTAAAGAAATAGAAATTTATAAGCTTCAAAGAATATAATTGACATGTTTTGTTTTTTAATAAATACTTTATGTTAAAAAATATAAATATGTACGAAAATTCAAATTGTACGAAAATTCAAAGTCGTACGAAAATTTTTAAAGCATTCGTACGTACTAGTATAAAAAAATTTATCTGTTAGAAACGTACGTACGAACAAAGAGGATTAACGTCCGTCCGAATTTGTATTACCGTACAGTACTACTTAATACCTTTTTCAAACTACTTAACATATAATTGATTGTCGATAATAGTTTTCTAAAGGAATGTTTATTAGTGTGTGACAGAAGTCACATTTATGCTTGATGAAAACCCAGAAAAAGTAATGTGTGAAATTAAAAAACTTAATAAATTCATTTTGTCGAATACAGAAAATAGAAGTAATAAAATATTATTTTCATTTTTTAGAACTCGTAATAAAAAAAATAAAAAATATACACTTAAGAAATTCAATATTTATGAAAAATCGAAATAAATATTTATCCAAATATGTACTGAAGCTCACTATCAGTAAATATTGTATATTTTAAATTTGAAGTTTTGTTCAATTACAAACTGACTTTTATTATGTAAAAAATGTTTACATATTACTCTATAATCAGTGTTAAACAAAAGCTAATTTTTACATAAAATAAATAATCAATGACTAAAAAATGTTTTAAAAAAAAAATTCTAGATGTAAAAATATTTATTTATTCGATATTTTGAAATTTTTTTCCTTTTCCTTTTTAAACTAAGAATATAGCACCTATAGTACTTAAATTATTTTGTGAAATATTATATATAAGAGTTTTAACATACATTTTACTTTAGACTAGCCTTTTCCAAGATATTTACAAGCTATAATATGAAATAAGAATAAGAGACGAGACAAATAAAAAAAAAATACCAGAATAAAAATACACTTACATTTTAAAATCAGTAATTTCTACTGTACTACTATTGGAAATATTTTTTGTAAAAGGATTAAGTAATCGAGATGTATAAATAGCTTGTGCATGAGTGGTTGATTTACCATTTTTAATTGATAAAAGACTTTCTTTTCTAGATTCTTGTGTTTCTTTAAACTGTTCTTCAATCTCATAGTGTTGTTGTTCCTTTTTCTTAAAATCTTGGTCTAATGAATTATAAAATAATTCAATCATTTCTTTTATTTCAATAGAATTTGGTCTATTATCTGGATTTCCATCCCAACACTTTTTCATTAAATCAATATAACATTTTGGCGCAATTTGATTATTTATTTCAGGTCTAATCCCATTATATATATTTAATATCAAAACCTCATCATGAGCACAGTTATCAAAAGGTCGTCTCCCAGTTGCTACAACATACATTATCATACCAAAACTAAATATATCTGCTTCTCGAGTATAAGATTTTTCTTTTAACACTTCGGGAGCTACAAAAGGTATAACTCCATAAATTTTTGTTTCATTAATATCATCAATTTTTCTATATAATCCCATATCGGAAATACATGCTTTATAATCACTAAAATAACTCAATTTTGTAAATAATATATTTCCCATATGAAAATAACAATGAACTATCTGTTTTTGATGAATTTTACTAAGACCTCCAATAACATTAGTTAATATTTTTAATCCATTAAACCAATCAAACCTCTCATAATTTTTATTCAAATAATTACTGAAATTTCCACCTTCCGCATATTCAAGAACTATAATATAGTCTTTTGTATCTGGATCTTGAGATATTCCATATAATTTAATAATATTATTCACCTTTCGATTTGAATATGTTTTAACCTATAATAAAATATATGTATATAAATTACTTTATTATATAATTATTACAACACTATAAATTCCATACCTTGTCTATAAATTCATTAATAAGATTTTGTGATCCATGTAAACATTTTAAAGCGACTTTTGTATTTGGGTTTCTTTCATATCTATAAATAGTTTCATATAATCTACATAATAAGCCATCTTTCCATATTGCTGAATATACTGTAGAAAACCCGCCTTTACCTATTTCTCTAATGTCATCAAATTGATCATATGGTATCCATTCAAAAATCGTATTAGATTTTGAGTGATCAAGATCCAATCTCATTTCTTGGATCAAATCACTAATTTTTTTATTTTCATGGTTTGTTTGACATGACATGCAGTTCTTATTATCTATTTCAAATTTATTATTGTATTTTTTACCACAATTTTCACAATAATTTTTAGGTCGAAGAACCAAAATAAATTCTTTTGTATTTGGGTTTTGAGATATTCCATAACTTTCCATAATTGAAGCTGCAACCTGTTAAAATATAATGTCATTATATTAACATTAATTAATAATTAAGTTACATTTTTAGAGAATTACATACCTTACTTAATAATGTATCATTAATATTTTGTGAATTGTATAAATATTTTAATAAAACCTTTTTATTTAATTTCCTTTTATATTTCCCTTTTATGTTACTGTAATATAATGGACCATCCTCCCATATCGCTATAGCAATGCCACCTTTCATTTCATTAATATTAATAAACTCATTGTATGGTATCCATTCAAATGTTTCACCTTTACGTGTGCTATTTATTTTTAATTGCATTTTTTGGATAAATTCATCAATCTTTTTATTTCCACTAGTCCAGTTTATAAAATTATTTTTTAAATAATTTATTTGGCATGGTTCACACCAAATCCTATATTTCATACATTTATTACCACATTTTTCGCAATGATAATCAAAATATTCATTGTTAAAAACCAAAATATAATCTCTCGTATTCGAATTTTGAGATACTCCATAGTATTTTTCATCTGTTAAATATGATTCAACCTAATAAAATATAAAAATAATTAATATAATACTAAAAGTAAATTTTAAAAAAATTACTATAATTGAATACCTTATCTATAAATTCATTGGTAACATTTTGTGAATTATACAAATATCTTAAACAAACTTTTTTATATGATGTTTTAACCCATTCCTTTTTAAGAGTATCATAAATTAATGGACCTTTTTCCCATGTTGCTGTAGTTAAACAATTACCTTCTGTTTCTTTAATTTCAATAAACTCATTATATGGTATCCATTCAAATATGATATAACTTTCGATACTAATTTTTAATTGCTTTTTTTGGATGAAATCATCAATTTTTTCATTTCCGCTTGTCCAATTTATAAAATTATTTTTTAAATAATTTATTAGGCATGATTCACAACACTTATAATTTATATATTCCTTGTCACATTTTTCACAATATCTTTTATAGTATTTATTATGAACCACCAAAATATAATCTCTTGTATTTGGATTTTGAGATATTCCATAACTATCAATTGATGCAGTAGCCTATTTAAACATAAAAAAAATATCAACATCTAAAAAATAAATAAGCTACATTTATAAAGAAATTCGTACCTCATTTAAAAATTCATCAGTAATATTATTTTGTAAGTTAGATAAATATTTTAATACAACTGTTTTATATGATTCTTTCATCCATTTCTTTTCAACAACATCATAATGCAGTGGACCTTCCTCCCAAATCGCTACAGAAAATCCACTTTTACCCATTTCTTTAATTTCAATTAACTCATTGTATGGTATCCATTCAAATATTAAATCACTTATTTTCTTAACATTTAATTGCTTCATTTGAATAAAATTATCAATTTTTTCATTTCCACTTGTCCAGTTTGTAAAATTATTTTTTAAGTGACTTATATGGCATGATTTACACCATTTATCAACAATTTCATTACCACACTTTTGACAATGATTATCAAAATATTCATTGCTAAAAACTAAAATATAATCTCTTGTATCTGGATTTTGAGATATTCCATAATCTACTTTACTATAAGAATATTCATTAAATAAATATGATTTAACCTATCAAATAAAAAAATAAAAATTAATATTATACCAATATTCAAACTAAATACAAAATTTAATACCTTATTTATAAATTCATCAGTAATATTTTCTGAGTCATATAAAATTCTTAATATAACTTCTTCATATGATGCCCTTATCCATTCCTCTACATGTTTATCATAACTTAATGGACCATCCTTCCATATTGCTGTGGCAAAATCACTTTCTTCTATCTTTTCAATTTCAATAAACTTATCGTATGGTATCCATTCAAATACTACACCACGTTTGTGTTTTTTTAAGTATTCTAAGTGCTTTTTTTGAATGAAATTATCAATTATTTCATTCCCACTGGTCAAATTTGGAAAATTTTTTGTAAGAAATTCCATTGAATAAAAAATTTTTGAACCGAAAAGAATGAAAATAATAACTTTGGCTTTTATTTATAAAAAAAAAAGTATAATAAAACCAAATTTGGTTACAAAAAAATCATGGCGTAATAATGTAACATACTATTATTTTTAAGTAATGAATGATACACTAATTTTCAATCACGTGATCAAAATTATAATTTACATTCTAAAGGAAACTTATAGAAAGAAAACCGTATGGTTTAGCGATTTATACCGAAGAAAAAGGGTAATCGTTTATTTACAGTTGATCGGGCCAAAAAAATAAGTTGATTATAAAAGCAAGGAATTTATTAATTTAATACATATTACATAAGGTAAGAATATGTCGTGCTTGTAAAGGGGAATTTATATGATACTGGGTGGAGTGGACACTATACAAATTAAGTAGGTAAGAAAAAATATATATACTGTATATTTGACAAAACCAAAACAACAGAAAGTATATTTACTTCATCAATAATGTCAAACTTTAAAATAAAAGAAAAAAATAAATGCAATATAAATAATTTATTTTAGATGATCTTTATATTATTTGTAATAAAAACCGAAACGAAAAAAATAACACCTTATAAACTTTTATAGCATATAAATTAGATGAAATACTGCTAAAATTTCATAATGTAAATGAAAAAACTTTGAAACAATGCAGTTAATATTTCAATTGTAAAAAAACTTCCAATATACATGTAGAACCATATGTTCAATTTATAATTTTAGTTGAACTAGGATATACATGTTGCCGAAACTTGGCAATTTCGGAATAATTTAGGATTCGGCCTTCGGCCAATCATTCCAAAACGAAACTCCAGTCGAAAATCGAAAGTTGGGCCGAAATTTTCTAGCCAGCATTATGCATTTTGGCCCGCATTATAAATTTTGATGTAACGCAAAATTTCATGAAAATTTCGTGGCTAAAATTTTATCATGTGTCACGTGATGTATGATTACAGCCAGTGTTTCGTTTCAGATTTTAGAACTTTCGGATTCGGCCATGTTTTCGGCAAGTTTCGGCTAATTGTATAAATTAGGATTTGTATGTAGACTGTAGAGATGGTGAAAGACTCGCTCAGCCCGTTATAGTTTCAAACTGATACTATTGAACGAACTGAACTGACTTGAGCTGTTTCGAATCGGATGAACTGGTTCGGTACCACAATTCCATAATCATTTCTTGATCAATTCAGTCCAGAACTAAATCAGTTCATATCAAAAATTTATCAGAATCGATTCAGAACAAAAGTACCGAACCGAAAGAAACGAACCGACTCAAACAGCTCAACCGCGAACCTATTTTATGTTGGCCAAATTACGCAGCTAACTCAAAATATGCCCGATTCTGTTATCGAGCTCTATTTCGTATCATGATTTCTACTTTTCAAAATGGCGTAAATTATATTTTAACAAAGTTGTCATGAAACAAAATTTTTTTTTTAAGAATTAGTATCGCATTTCTTTATTAAAATATATAATTCTATAGCATAGATTATATATTCTAAGAAATACCTAGAAACGCACGTCCCACGTACTGCATCTATAACTAAAACATTCTATCTAAAGGCCTATACTAAAAACTATCTAAAAATAAAACAAAACTAAAACTATATCTAATCAAAAACAAAGCAAAAAAAATAAATAAATGAAGACGTGAAAACAAAGCAAAAAAATAAATAAATAAAGACGTGCTTAAACTAAAATTTAAACTATCTAATTAAATCAGATCCCTCTATGACCGAATACTCGATGACCTCGACATATAATCCAGGCAGATTAAAATCACGTTGAAATCCAGATTTTATTTCCAAGAAACAGAGGGCGAGAAATCCCAGTCCTTAGACCCTCTTTGAAAGTGTCACCATCTACGTATCTCAAACCTCTTCCCAGATCCTAATCCTCGCGTCCTTTTTGGTATTTAGAAAATCTCTTCTACATTTATTTACCTTGGCTCTGATATTATCTATATTTAATTTGTTTGTATAAATATCATAACATAAATTCAGACATATCCCTTCAAAAGAAAATTTTCCTACAACTGGCTGGCTATCACATTACTAGAAAAACGGAAACCGTTAAAGTTCGTCGCGTCAGTATCATTTTTTTTTTATTGAAAAAATTGATTACGAAAAATAGCTTAATATAAAATATGTAACACCAAATAGAATGACGTCAGTGGATGAATGGAAGGAAAATTGCATGGGTTAACACAAATCGATTCGCCTAATGCAGCAAAATGTTCCTTCACTAACAACAATTACACAAGAAAAATATTACTGAACGCCGCAGTGTTGGCACATGACATCATATGACGACTATGACGTATATGATTGTCACAAGTAATTTGTCATTTATGACTTACGACTTTGTCAGGTTCTTAATTCTGGCCGACATTATAAATTTATCCAGAATTATAATTATTATAAGAAAAATGGACTCAGTGACTGAGTTTCAGTGAGTCAGTGTTCAGTATTCGCAAAAATATATCAATTAAAACAAATGAAACGTTAAATTATGAGCATGCGGAAAGCGCAATAACAGTAGTAATTTTTTTAAAAAATTAAATAACTTATGAAATTTATAGCCTAATATGGTGAAAATCCAGCAGGAGATTATTTACTAATTACTATATACTATATAGTATCTAAGGTTTGTGAGCTCAAGTTTAAATATAATAGTGTCGAAATATAATAGTATACCATACTATTACTCGGATTATTTTATTTTCTAACAAATAATATTCAATTAAATTTATTCAAATTAACAAATTTCATAATAACGCTCTAAAGCTAAAGTTAGGGATGGCAACGGTCACGGGTAGAAGTAGAAATTGCCTAGTAAAATTATTAATTTTGGGCGCAGTATTATATTTATAGAATTTTAAATGTACTGCGTCCGTAATGACGTTAAACCATTTTTGAATTTATATTTATTCTGGGTCTTTTATTGGTTAATTATGGGATCGGGTAGCTAATGATGTGGGTAACTTGAATATGATCTACATAACAGTGACGAAGGGTCGAATGGCAGTGAGAAAGAATAAATAATTTTTATAACTTCCAAAATTAGAAATTACTTGCTTAATTGGTTTCAATGATTAAGTATTGACTTGAGAAATTTGGATAAATTTTTCTTTTATTATTATTAACTTTTATTTTATTATGAAACTCGGGAATTGTTACAATTTTTTCACTGAATTTAATAAAGAACTATTTTGTAGTTTTGTAGCTAGTGGTAGCAAGTGGCAACGTCGTTATGATGGGCACTAGAACTACAACTACACCGGTCATAACCGTGATCGATATCGGTCGGTCAAAGACTTCTGACCGACCGTTTGTGACAATTTTGGTCAGAAGTTAGTCTGGTGACTCTAGTCGGTCAAATGGTCGGTCAAATTGTCGGTCAAACGGTCGGTCGGTCAAAGGTTCTTGACCGACAGATAATAATAATTTGAGATAGACGTGCATCCTTTTTAAATTTTTTAGTGTCCGAAGACGATCTACGCAAGATAACATTTTGTTTAATATTTATAATGCCTTAAAAAGTTAAATAACGATCAGACGTCAGTTGGCAGATGCTGGTTATGTATAATTTCATTAATTAATATAACAATTTCTGATAAAGCATGTAAGTTAAATTTAAGACAATTTGTTTGTACAGGTATTTTTAATAGTACTAACCTCTTCTTACACTCAGACAAATTTACCAAAATAGTTAATAAACAGTCATTGTTGATAATCGTACGTAGCAAAGTTTACTTCATTGTGCATAACCTACCTGCAAAAATTACGATCTTTATTCTTTAATACTTTTCACGCATTTAGTTTAACGACAAATTAGCAGAAAAGGTTGCACTCCCCATCTTCTTTGGCTAAAAAAATTAATCTTTTAATGACCCAAAATTTTAAAGTGTCAAATAAATGCATATTTCTCTTGTGTACTGGCTTCCATGTGAAATCGAGAGCCAAAAATAATTCATTAATTTTCTTATACTAGTTTCTATTGTATAAATAAAGCCCTATAAAAAAAGAATGTCCGGAAATTGTAGCTAAAAACGTCCGGAAAATGTTTATTTGTCTGGAATATGTCCGGAATATTGCAATATTCCGGACGTTGGAAAATTTCCATTTTCCAGAAAATGTCCAGAAAATGTCTAGGAGGGTTCAGACCCAGCGTCCAGAAAGTGTCCGGAATATTGCAATTTTCTGGACGTTTTCCGGACACACGGACATTTTCCGGATGTTTTTAGCTACAATTTCCGGACATTTTTTTTTACAGGGAAGAAAGAATAGAAAAAAAAAGTTTTACTAGAAAGCGCAAGAAACGAAGTTAAATTTTATTCGTTGAAAAATAAATATATAATATAATGCCTTTTAAACTTCTTTATTTCAGTTGTAAGATTCGGTGATATAAGTATTTTAATATCAGGTGATTAGGTGAATATTCAATTTTTAAAGAAATTTTTGACTTATATAATATAAAGCTAACGAAAAAATTTATAATTATTATTTATTTTACATTTTTTTTGGCACTTTTTTACATGGGTTCTTCACCTATTTGAAGCCTTATGTCATCAGGTCATTTTTAAGACAAGATGTACCGAAATTATGAATGAAAAAAAAAACGAAAAAAAAAGAACGTGCATTAGCTTCTTTATCGATACAAAAAATTTGGTATTGCTAATATCCATCCACCACATTCTTACATTTCCCAAAGTCGTTTTATTGTTATTAATAGCGCTAATTTATTTTTTTAAAAAAAAAATATTAAAGAAACGAAACACCAAATGAAGGTTAATATTTTCAAATTTCCAAATTTCGATATTTCAGCCACGTGACAAATCCTCCAAAAGCAAAGTCATCTGATTCCGTAGATCTGAGAATTAATTACAAAAGAGAGTTTATTTTTAACTACAATAGGGAGCTCAATCTTTTAATTTTTGGACACTACTAATACTTTTTCTCTAGAATTCTTTTGGAAAGTCCCGTTAACGATTTTAAAGTAATAATAAAGGAAAGTTTATTTTCCCAAACGTTAATACTGCAAATATTTTTATTTATTATTGATTTCTCATAGCAGTCTTTACTCTTCTGTGAAATGAAGGCGGTGGTGTGGAGGCAGTGGTGAAGGTGGCGGAAGAGGCGGAGGGGGTGGTGGTGGGAGGAGGTGGTGAATTCGGAGGAGGTGCAAGCACATTAAATGATTTGCACATTGTTCGTTGGACAGACACTACAGTAACTACATAATTAAAAAAAAAAATGATAGTCCATTGTGCACCCTTGGACTGTGAATCCTGCAGGCGGATTACGAGACAATTATATCTGAATGAAACCCCTACCAGTATTAGAGATCCTTCTTTTATGTCTAACGTCGCTTCAAATTGTCTCTGCACTGCACCATAAATCCTTTTCTACTAGAACGTCGTCCACTCATAGCAAAAATTTTTAAACCATTTTGAAACTCTAAAAAATTTAACTTCTGGTTACGCCACGAAAAGAATATATTTTTTTGAAGACTAGTGAACATATATGGGTTTTTAGCCACATCGTCTTGCATCAAAATTATCGTTTCGGGCGGATAATCTAACGGATTTTTAAAATGTCCACATCCATTCATCAAGGTAATTCCCTTCTTGGTGTCTCTCTTTGGCTTGCAAAGAAAGCTTCGCCGACTCCTGATTATTTTATGGCGTTCTGAGCTTCCTAAAGTATTCCAAACTCCTCCGCGAACTAGAGATACTGTACGTCCAAGAAAGCCTGGTGGACATGAATGAGTTTCTGTTTAATGGTCAATTACGCGCATGATGCCTGTTACATGTCTTCTTTTTATTCCAATATATAGTAACATTACATAACAAGTGTTACGGTACGTTTCGTCGAAGTCTATTTCGCCGAGACCATTTCGCCGAGGTCATTTCGCATGAGGGAATTTTCTCCGAAAAGATAATTCGTCGGATGGGCGTTTTGTCGAATAGGCATTTCATCAATCCTTTTCCCCCGAATAGTAAATATTAATGATTAACATAATTCCTTAATCAATACAGAGAAAATAAAAATGTTTCGGAAAATTGATGAGTACGATGAAAAATTTATTTTTCTTTACTGTAATTAAAATAAAATAAACAAACGTAACTTGTAATAATTTGTTTGTCTTATAAAAAAGAAAAGGAAAACTGAAAAATTTCATATCTTCGGCGAAATGTCCCTTCGCCGAAATAGCTTCGGCGAAATGCCCTTCGCAAAATGGTCATTCGGTAAAATGTCCATTCGGGGAAATGGCATTTCAGTAAAATGACACTTTAGTGAAACATCCCTTCGGCGAAATTGCTTCGATGAAATGGACTTTGGTAAAAAGTCCGGATACCCATAACAAGTGAGCAGTTATTATAAGATCATTAAGAATACTGCCATGATCATTAGAAATTAAATTAATTCTACTGATATTGACTTCAATGTCATAAGAATATCGGTTACTAAAAATAACGACACGAACAAGTTTTTGACAATTTAGAGTTTCTTATACCCGAAAGAAATTTCTCATTCAAAATACTGCTCCACCCATTTCAGGTCTCCTATTATCTATCTATCCAAGACACAAGTCCTAGTCTTGTTCAATAATATAATTAAAATATGGCCTACCTTTGATTGTATTAGCCAGAGAAGTAAATATGCTGACCGTATCAGTACTAGTGCTTCTGTATACATGGTCGCTAACGCTACAAGAAACGAAAAGGCAAGGAGTGTTTCTTAGGAGTTAAATTTATACGAAAATATACAGAAGTTAATGTCTTGCGTAAGTTGCGTTGAGGAACGTCAAAATTTTATTTTTCTTTCTTTAGCATTTTCTGTGTAAAATACGTACAAAGAAAAAATAAAAAAACATATCAACAAAAGCAAAGTCTTCAGTATTTTACGTTAAGGATTTTAGTGGAGATTTAGTGCTTTTTTTAATGTCAATGATTTATTTATCTTTATATTATTTTTTTTCAATAACAAAGAAAGGAAATGATATTGGTGATATACAATATTTCTAATAATAAATATTAATTATTATCATAAATTCTAAATTCTACAGTTGCTGATGTTTAGCTGCTAGTGCTGCCGTCGTTGCAAATACATTCAAATAAAACTGGCGTCATTAAAAAAAAAAAGATTTTTTTAATAATATTGGAAACCCAAAAAATTGATTCTGTATTAAAGTGCTGTATTTATATTCAAGAAAATTTCATTGTTCTTGGAAACATGCAATTCAAAGTACCGTATATTAAATACTTACACTAAGTCCTAGTGATCTAATAGCATTCTGTCATATTTGAAACAATTCTTGTATAAAATGATGATGATCTGAATTATGGTATTTTTTTTTTTTTTTTTTTTTTTTTTTTGTGGAGCTAATGACGTCACAAGGACGATTTTTATTAATTTTGTAGATAATAGGCCAGTGAGTCCAAAAGACTCGGTGGCAAAGAATCATACAAAAAATCTAAGTATACAACTAAACACGTAGAACGGTAGAAGTATACCTACGATGCTACACGTTTACGAACAAATTACAAAAAAAGACTAAACTCCCACTCGCAAAGCAGAAAATCCACCCAATAAGCTAGAATAATCTGAATTATGGTAATTTGTTGGGTTTAAAAAAAGTACACAAAAGTTACGATAGAAGATAAAAATTTCTCTGTTATTATGATCGACGGTAACTTTGGCCAAATTCATAATACCGGCCAGAATTATGGCACTATGACATCGGCTAAATTTTAACCGATCATCACATTTTTTATTTTAAGTGCTTGATCGTAACTTCATTTCCAACTTAATAGTATCGTAATCATTATGACATAACAATCAATTAGAAAGTTCTTGGATTTTGGACAAAAATTTGTTACAACCTTCGAGAAGCCATTTGAATTTTGATCTGTTCGATTACCTAGTTCGATTTCAAAAAATTTCGAGTTCAAGCACTTTATGGTAAAGGTTTTCGGGAGGGGAGAATAATGAAATCATAATATTTCAGACCAATCATAATCATAATTTATCAAGTATGACCAAACGACTAAACTTTTACTACCGAATTTATAGAAAAACAAACATATGTATGAATATGCATAAATACAATTAATCATTTAGTAAATGAATGTTATTTGACTTCCCATAAATGGAATTATTATAATATGAGAAAAAAAATAAATAAACCAAGGAGAAAACTAAGTTAACCATAGCTTTTCCCGATAAAGACTAAACACAACATGAAAAAATGTAACATTATAATTGAAATTAATGTGGCACGGCGCGGATTTCATTGATTAGGTAATCAATCAATTTTGTTTAATAAAGTTTAATAACAAATAATAATATGCGCTTAATTTATTTGAACTTAATAAAATGTCCTTTTTTAAAATACATAATGATAATGAAATAATTTACATTTGAAAAAAAAAAAAAAAAATGTTTTTTTAAATCATACAAAAAAAAAAAATTCTTACAGAGTTTACAGAGTTTACAGAGTTTACTGAGTTATTTCTTTCAATTTTTTGGAATTTCCAAGAACCGAATTATCAACAATAAAAGATTCGGAAGATTCATTAAATTCTTCAATTTCAATTTTAATAATACATTTTGCTTCAAGCCAACCTGCGGCATCGACATCACATTCCCATTTTAACTTATTATCATTTTCTTCTAGGTAAATTCCAATCTTTTTACCATATTTTTGTAATATATAAAATCCACAATCAGAAAAAGGTAGTATAATTTCTTCTAACATCTTAATTTTTGGTTGAAGGAAAAAACTTTCTCTATCATGACAAGGAAATGTTATACTAATCTTATGAATATAAATTCCTTTTGCAGTTGAAATAAAAGATTCCATAATTCCGATAAATTTGTTCAACATTTCAACGTATGGATCAGGTTTTTCGATAATCGGAGGTGATGGTAATTCAATTTTTAATTGAAAAAAATCGATTTCCGATTCAATTTCTTCTTTAGTAATCATACTTGCACAACAACCCCTTGATATATCTTCTGGAGTTTGTTCATAATGTGCATAATCGCGCCAAAGGAATTTTCCTGTACGATAAAATTCTAGAATATAATGAAAAGCACGTCCATTTCTATCAAGGAACAACTCATTTCCATTTTCCAATTTTAACATTGATAAATTCTCATCTTTCAACATCGTACCAAGAAAAGATTCCGGTCGTGATAAGAGAGTATCACGATGCGTCTCATACTATATTATGTAAGTAAATAGTTATATTTACCATGTAAGTAAATGGTTATATAATAAAATTTCGTTCCAAACTGATTCAATTAGTTACCTTAACACCACCGACATTTAAAATTATACGATCAATAGGAAGATTACTCGTCATCGTAATAAAGTTTGACAAAAATTATAAGGTTTGACAAAAATTATTAAAGTAAACGATTAAATGATTAGTTGGTTTAATAATAAAAAATATGTGGTGGATTTAAAAGAAATTTCTTGGAAAATTCCTTTGACAATGGAATGACAAAGGAAAAAACCAAGAAATATTCTTATGGAAGAAAATTTTTTTAGAAAAAAGTAAAAAAAAAAAAACTGTATTGGACCCTTTTTTATAAGTGGCTTTTTTTCATTAAAATGATTTGTCATTAAAGTACACAAAAAAAATTTCAATTTTTTAACTTGACAACCGGAAAATAAATCCGATTATAAAAATTTATTAGTGATACGTTATACTTTCATAGTAATATGCGATAAGAATTTTTTTTTTTTTTTTTTTTTTTTTTNTTTTGTGTTACGGTTCACGTGATAAATATTCCCTTGTCGGTGATCTTCGGAGTTAAAAGTCGTTAAATTCCATATTAAAGTAATAATGAATCATTGTCATTCAAAAAGTTTTAAAAAAAACTAGTTTTTTTTTTAAAATCAATAAAAATCAATAAAAAATCAATAAAACTCGTTTTTATCAGTTAATGAAATACTTTTATTGGTAAATTGAATGATAATAAAAATTCTTTTTGATTGAGAAAAAAAAAGTTTAAAAAAATTTTTGTTCTTTTCCATATAAAAATGAATAAATGAATGGACTTAACTGTTAATAATTTGATTGTCGGAGACCAATCTCCTAAGGCGAATGACGATCCCTTTGAAAAAAGTACAAAGTTTCATTCTTTCTTTGTTAATCAACTAACTGTATTAAGCCAATATAATCAAACGAATATAATCAAGCCATTGTTCTTTATAAAGTTATCTAAAACCCGATGATAACAGAAAAGAGTCATATGAGCTTTGATTCTTGTGTAAAAAAATCTGTTTTGGTTTCTTGTGAACATTATTAAGGATTTCTAATTTTCATGAATGAAATTAATTAAGAATTTCGTTCATGTTTGAGATTCATCTAACCTGTTACCGGCCACTGTTACATTCACTGTTGCGGTCACAATGAAAAAAAGCGGACCATTGCTTATAATGTCTAGATTTTCGGATAAATGATTTCCCTTGAAAAATCCGCAGAAAATTTGAGGTTAACGAAAAATGTGTGGAATATACAGTAGGATGATTCGAGGTTTTTAATGCGACATGGAAATAGAGAATTCGTCTCGTGACAAGTGCGTTGAAATATATGCCTGCTATGGAAGATTCGAAATTCATTAGTTTTTTTTTATAAAAAAAAAATCTGGATACTTATGTAAAATTACCCTTTGATAAAAAAATTCATTGAACGCATCGAAGTAAATATATGTAAAATCGCCCTTTGATTAAAAAATTCATTAAACGCATTGAACGCATCAAAATAAATATATGTAAAATCGCCCTTTGAAAATTTTCTTTATTTTTTTTTTTTTTTAAAAAAAAAATTGGATTATATCGTTAACCTGTAATTGTAATTAAAATTTAAAATTTGAGATTTTTTGTAATTTGGGTCAGAAATTATGAGCCAAATACCCAAATATGCTAAATACCCAAATATACTAAATACAAAAAAAAGAAAAATATGAAAATAGAAATAATAGAAAAAAAAAAATATTTATAAAGAAAATTGATAAAGTGAATTCATAAATTGGAAACCTACGAAAAAAAGCGAACGGATGAATTTTTTGTGATAAATTTTTCTACAAATGTAACATGCATAAATTAAAAGGGGAGGATTATATAGAATTTATTAAATTTACTAAATTAAAAATTAAAGAAAGTACTTTTTTTTTATGTGAATTTTGATTTTTTTGGGATTTTTTGGGATTTTTGGGGATTTTTGGGGATTTTTGTGATTTTTGGGGGTTGGTTAGGGATAATGTTTGATAATATTTGGTAATATTTATAGGATTCATAATACAAAAGTTTTTGACCTCTAAATAATGTATATATATATATAAATAAATCTTAAGAGGTGTTGTTACCTGACACCGAAAAAAATTTTTCTTCTATAAAGAATTTTATAAAAAATGCGAATCTTAAAATTGTGTTTATTATGATTGTTGTTTAAATTTCCGTTACGCTTTCTTTTTTTAAAAAATATCCTCAGTGAGCAACTTCTTGATCTCGCCCCGTCGGCACGTGATTTATTAAAGTATCCGGTGATGACGAAGGCTTTAAATCAAGGGTTGCTGAGCATTTTAACTTTTCTTCCTTCCAGTTTGCAGCAAAATATTTTTTCTTTAAATAATCTTCACCAAGATTCTTTTCGTTATTAAGAATAAATTTTGGTGAAATAGAATCTTGAGATGAAGGGAAATTCATGGCATTCGTAGTAAAAATTACAAGTTTTTGTAGGTCATCCAATTTACAAGTAGATAAATCGATATTACGAAACATTCGAACTTTTTGTTTTGAAGTATTAATATCACTATATACAGGATTCTAAGAAGAAAGGAAGGAAGGAAAAAAAAAAGGGACGCAAAAGCATTAAATCTAAAGAAAAATTTTAATAATAAAAAGAAGAATAAGAAAAATGATTAAAATAAAAAATACCTTTTTAGAATTTTTTAAACCTTGAGTTAATTTATAAAGATTATTAACCAAATCCTCAATTCTAGCCAAACGTTCAGTAAGTAATTTCATACAATTACCAGAATCATTACAACTATTACAATCTTTTGAATGATCATTATTATTATTATTATTATTATTAATATTATTATTTGGTTTAATAATTCTTTCGTAAGGTGAAGGTGAAGTATAAAAAGCTTTGGTTAATTTAATTCTTTGAACTCGAGAGCAATTAGATCCTCTTATTTGTTCAAAATATTTGTTACTATTTTGAGAAGTCATTGTGCGAGTCATGTTTTTTTTTTTATAATTTTTGTAGAAAAAAAAAAAATGTGTATTTAATGTGTATATAAAATAAAATGTATTTAAAATATTTAAAATGTATTTATATCTTTCACTTTTTTTTTTTTATTTGTTTGGTTTCTTTTTTAAAAAAAAAACAAAAAAAGATTTTTTGGATTTATATTTATAAAAAAAAAATGCTTAAAGCCGCAGTCTCGGAATTTCGGATGATTTCCATATATACATATATAGTTACATAAAAATTGAAAATGGAATAACAATTCCGTGTAAATCCAACGGAGTTAGATGAGTAACATAAAATCAAAATATAGACGGATTTCATTGTTTTTGAACAGCCATTTAATCATTGAAAAAGAAATTTTCCCTGAAAATGAAATGAAATAAAAATAAAATAAAAAATATGTTTATTCCGAAAGTTAAAAGTTCAAGGATGATTGTATTAAAATAATTTTTTAGGCGTACAATTTCAAAATAATATACTTTGAAATTTTTTCTTCAAATACTCTTTTTTTAATCCGTTAAAGTAATTCTAGGAAGTAAGAATTATTTTATTACCATATTTAAAAAAAATTTCATAAATTTTTTTTTTTTTTTAAAACAATAATAATAAATATATTGTAATAATATTATATATACAATATATTTTAACGGAAAAATTATATAAGTGGCTGAGTGTTTTAATAAAACTAAACAATTTTAGAAATTGAATGAATAAGAAAATGATCGGTTGGTGAACTTTGTGGCTCGCAATTAGTTTAAAAAATCCCAAATAAAGAATTGAAATTTTGATCTTATGCAATTAATTTAAATCGAGTTACACACGTTTTATAACACATAAAGAAAAAGGAAACTTTTGATTCTCAATAAACATTAAACGATTCGTTTTAAAACTATTATTAGTAAATTGTTTGATGACGAGATCGTTTCATTAATGAGAATGCTTTAATTCCTAATTAAACCAATTCGTTGTAAATAAGTTTAGAATCTAACTACTTTTTTTGTTAAGTTTTTCTCAAACATTAATGTAATACTCACATAAAAAGTCATTGTCCCTAATTATGTTAGAAACATAATAAATTTATTTTAAGTATTTCCATTGTATGAACATAACAATATGATTTTTTTTTTACAAGGTTGGAATTCGTTGTCCTTTAAAACGAATTAAATTTCAACCAATTAAATTTCATATTTTCATATCCTTGTTAATAATAATACTAATAATAAAGTCGTTGTCAAATATCCCAAAGTTTTGAATTTCAGGTTTTAGTAATCAAAAAATATATATCCTTCCTTGTCATTATTGTTAATTAAAAATTGAGTAAACAATGAATAACTCCGACATAATCTCACGCGTGTGGCTTACGTCAGTTAGATATTTATATAAATTCTAAAAATATTGAATTATGATTAGCATAAATTACCAGTTTATAGGAGGATGTTAATTTCCTATTTCTCCAATTTTTTCTATAGTTGGAAATCATAAATATCATTCGGAGTTTTTGTTAATTTCCTTTTATAAAAATAATAATTTTATTTTTATATTTTTTATATTTTTTTTATATTTTTTTTTATATAAACAACTATAAACAACACTATAAACAGTAATAAATAGTATAAACAGTATAAACTGCATAAAAAGTACAAGTAAAGAAATTTCTTATTGGCAACAATACATAATTTTTTGACCCTTACTCGCCACACAAACACAAAAAAAGCCACTATATATATATATAACATATATATATAATCACCAAAGTGACAAAAAAACAAATTAATTGTTATTTGTTGATCATTTATAAAACGTAATAAAGACTCCTTGTTTATCAAATTTGTATTATTCATTCATTCATCGTATAACCAGTATCTTGGTAAACGGCGATTAAATTCCGAAAGGAAGAAAATAATAGTAAAAATGATAATAACAATAACACATAATAAACAATCTGATCTTTCTTATCAATGAAAATAAATCTATTTTTTCTTAATCGCAATATACCGATTAAAGTTTATCTGGTGTTATCACTTATCAGTTATACCTGGAATAATCAAATTTAAAATTTACCGAAATCATTTCGGTATCGGATCTTTTTAATTATTTCCGATAAAAAACTTTCCTTTATGTCCTAGAATTGTAAAATTTTGTTCTTTTGCTTTCTTTTGCTACTTTGAACTTTGAAATGAAAAAAAGTATTATCATTAAAAGGTTCAAATTCAGTGTTCAATTTCTTTACGTTATTTGGTGATCTATTGAGTGAATAATACGTATTTAGATACAAAGAGGCCTTATTCGCTACGTAAGTAGAAATCAAATACTTGTTATGTTAACTATTATGACTTAACGTGACATCATAAAATGATTTACGATGCATGCGCTGTCATGGGGCTTATTGTGGCAAATTTTGAACTACACATTATAGAATGAATTTTACAGTTTTTATTATACGCAATTCCGCATTTTTTTTTCATGTATGTAAAAATTATACAGTTGAACAAAAAAGTGAATTTCCGCGCTAAAAATAATAACAATATCAAATTTTTTTACGAAAAAAATTAAATTGTTACAATTTTTAAAAAAATTTTAAAAAAAATTATTGCCGTGTTTAGCTGTTTAACCTTATCTTTTTCGTTTATTGTAAGTACTAAAAATAACAATTAAAATGCATGATAATAAAATAAATTCTTGCTTATTAAAAAAAAAACAAAAAATAGTAATAATAAATAAATAAAAAAAAATAAAAATAATAAAAAAAATAAATTTAAAATAAATTTAAAAATATTAATTTAAATTATTCGTTTAAAACTCACTTAAATAAATTAAGTACTATAAAAAGTAAAAAGAAAAAAAATTTATAATTTATAATTTATAATTTATAATTTATAAAGTTCATTTTTCAATTATAAAGGAAGGAAATTTTTACTTTTGAAAAAAAAAAAAAAATTAGTGTCGTACGTGTCGTACAAAATGACCGATCCAGCAAATTTATAGTTCAAATAATAGTTATTTCTAAAATTGTCGAGATAATAAAATTTATTTATTTATCTCTGTGTTCTCCATTGTCATAATTATTTTGATATTAGTGTTTATTTTTTGTTGAACGAATCACAAAATTTTAATAAAAATATGAAAATATGTATGAAAAATACCGGAATTTATTCAAATAGAATAGAACATGTGAAATATCGGAATTCTTTTTTTTCCAATTTTTTCCCAAGTTTATTATTTTTTTTATTATTGTTATGATTTAAATATTTCAATATTTCAAATGATTGGTGCGATTATTAAAATTACCTAAAATTAAAAAGTAACTTTAAATTTGGTAGGTAATTTCATAATTACATACATTTCTTGTTTTTTTAAAATGTTATTAGTTCTAATATATGAAATTCCCGAATCTGGTCATGAATTACCGAATGCTTTTGGATAATTATTTCGGCATTGTGCGAAAAAAAAAAACTTTATTTTTCTACTTAATGATAAAATATAAATGTGATAATTCATAATTATCTTGGGAATATCCTAAAAAGGAAGATAATATTAACAGTTGAATATTAAATATTCGTTAATTCCATTTTTTTTTTCGTAGAATGAAAAAAAAAAAATTATTTCACATTTTTCATATTTCACTAACCAAGGATAGTATCACAATTGGGTAAATCTTTCGTCGATTGCCGAATTTTATGGAAACGATCATTAACTGCGCAATTTTAGATTTGCAGATGATGTTCGGAATGTTCGGAATTAATCATTTAATTCCGCAACATGCGCGCTAAGCGGGCTATCAACCTATTATACGTCCGCACATGACGGGTAATACTATTTATAGATCTCGTCCTAGTAACACCATTCTGCAATTCATTCAAACCTTATGACTTATTATTCAAGGAATAAAATTCCTGAATTAATAAAAGATCGATGAGTATAGATTATCAATCATGTTTTGAAAGCCTTTAAAGCCTTTTAAAGAATCGGTAAATTCTAATAATAGAAGTAATATATTGTTTAACTATTATTTATTTATTTTTAATTTTTAACGATTTTTTTTGTTTAGAGGTCTAAGCCTGTTCTACTAGCGGGGCAGTTATGGTATTATAATAACGATTCGTTACAAAAAATTTTATCATGAATGAACATGTGAAGTCATAATATGCACATTAATTAATTATATGAGAATTGATAATAATTATATGTATGTGATTAATAAAATTTAATAAAGAAATAAAAAATTTTCGCGTTATAAGAATGTTTTTTTACGGAATTTCTAAAAATCTTTCATAAACCTTAATACATTGATTATCATTGCTTATGAAAAGTGAAAATTGTGGCAGTGTAAAAAATAAATTCCCTATTTACTATGTAATTTGTCGAATAATGTGAACATTTACGGTCAAATTTCGTTACAATGACGCTCTCTCGAGTATGTTATCAGAGAAGAATACGCATTTTTTTTCTAATTTTTTTTTTTTTTTTTTTAAAAAAAAAAATTGGTTATTTTAAAAAATTGGTGGATATAATGACAATTTTTTTTATTAAAAACACCCTTAAGGCCTTAAAACCTAGACACCTCACTTCTTTTAAATATTGGTCACTAGAAAATATTTTGACTTTTTTTTAGCGCGCTTCAAAGATTCTTTATGGTTACCTTTAAAATTATACATCTTTATGTACTTTTAAATATTATGTACTTTTAAATATGATGTACTTTTGTATATTATGTTTTACTTGCGGAGGGGTAACAATATTGCGTCTACGAAATATTTGCGTTGTCACGCTAATTATATTAACCACGTTAACGAAGTCAGTATATCGCGACGAGCCAAATCTATTGTTTGATAATACGTAAAAAAAAGTGTAAGAACTTTTTCTCATGTTTTATATTTTTTATACTTGCAATATTTATATTCGCTCAAAGGGAACAAAGTAACGAACTCTTTCTCATGTTTTATATTTTTTATACTTACAATAAATTATTTACCATTTTTTAGTTTTTATGCTCAAGTAACTTGCGTATATTGAGGTAATTAATTTTTACGTTACTTTTACATTTGATAATGTAACAACTATTAGGTGAATGTTGTAAATTATAATAACATACCATGTTTATGCCATGTTTAACTGTATTATTTTTAATAAGTATGTTTTCTTGGTCGAATTCTTTGAATGGCGATCCAGCTGACTTAGATAAGTTAAAGGTAATTGAAATGAAATTTAATGTTATACAAATTAGAAAATCAATTGAAGTTTCAATATCTTTTTATTTATTTATTTATTTATTTATTTTTTGTAGAAAGTTACAATAGTCAATACATTAGCAATACATCAGTCGCTCGATTACAAAATCAGAGGCGAAGATAATTGTAAAACCTTATAAGAGAGTCAGAGAGCATTTCATTAATTATTATTTGATTTCACGTTATTTTAGGACAAGATTTCTTATAGTTACAAGGTTTTAATAACTTAGTTACAAGTTTTAATAACTTTCTCGACCAAATATTACTCTTAAAACTGTATGTTCATAGGAATTTGAAGTTACTAAAACCAGTTACGAGTTTTTAATTATAATAGCATATTAGGTAAATCTTGAAACTATTTCGATCACAAGGCAATACTAATTCACTAACCTAGCTAGGTTTGGAAGTCGCAGTATTAATAAAACCGTCAATTTAAACCTTGATCATCATAATTAACGGAATTTCGGTATTGATCGATCAAAAATTACCCGTTGATATTGCGAGTATTGATGTAAGATAACTAAGTTTGGAAAAATAATGACAAGTGAGCATTTATAGATATATATTGTTGGAAATTCATAATTATTTTACTATCAATGACTAAAAATAACATTAAAAATATGTCAGATATTATACTAAGAAACGTTAAGATGACTACATTTTTGTCAAAATCGGGAAATATATATGATTTGAATTTAAAAGGTACAATGAAAATATGATTTTTCTTATTTTGGAAAACCGTACGATTATAATATTTTTTTGCTTACCTCTTATAATAAAATTTTCTCACGAACAGATTCGCAGATTCGGAGTTTCGGACTTTGGATCATACACATTTCATACAATAGTTACAATAATACGATACATGTGAAGTACCATGTATTTTATCGATAAGTTTTCCCGTCAAATTGTCATTCTCATTATGTGACAAATAATATGGACCGGTCTAGGCCTTTACTTTTAGAGTTAAAAGTAAAATGTTGATCTTGATCTGCGGTAAATATCATCACCAGTGATTCGGAAAACTTTAGAAAAAAATTTCATATATATATATATATGTGTATATATATATATATATATATGATTATAAATTCGATACAAACTTATACCTTATCAATAAGAATAATAATATCTACAATCTACAATGAATCTTTTTTCAAATAATATTTTAGTTTGATAGTTAAAAATTATTAAAATTATTAGATCATTTTACAAAAAATGCAAAAAAAAATTTTTTTTTTTTTTTTCATAACAAAAACTATGTTAAAATATTGTTTGTTAAGCTACAATATGGCGTGGTGAATTAATAATATGTATGAATTATCCAGATAAAGTATATTACTTTTTTTAAATACTTTCACATGATGATATTTGAATAAAGCCACATACATTTATTTTTCCTGTAAATATGAAAATATCATTGAAAATCACTATTATGTTCCGGGCTAACATTTTTGTCGATCATTTATTAATTTTTCCCACCGGTGTTTAGTCTCCATTTGGAACTGAAATTATTTTTTTCAGCCAACTGGCTTTTTTGTTACGAAAAAATTTTTTTAAAAAAGAATCTTGGTTAATAAATCTGATAGTGACGCAAACGTGTAAGTGATTACTAGATTTTTCCGGTTTATAACTTGTTGTAATTAAGGCACCCCTACTTTTTGAAGCAACGTCATAACGTTTATTAATCATAATAAGGTGGATTAAGGTTCTTTCTTATTTTGGGAGGAATTCTAAATTACTGATGAACAGCCTTTTGAAAGAGATGATCCTTGATCAACAAGATTTGAGAGGTTTATTCATATTTAATAGCAATATAATCACAAAGTAGTAATGGTCATATGCATTTTTTGTCCACAAGCCCCAGCATTTAATGGTAAAATCTTAGAAGTAATTTACTTCGAAACCTCCTGACGATTCAATTTTTTGAGTTTAAACTTTAAACCAACCATTAAATACAATTACAGAACGATTTTTATTGGATAGGCAATAAGTCTATTTTTGGGTAAAATTCTTAAATGGCATACTGTTTTTTATCAACTCATTTTGTGGGCGGAAAATTACGTGAGTTTTCACATTTACCAAATACAATTATTTAACAATCATGATCTTATCCAATGAGAATTATTTATACCGGATTCATTAAATTGATAATTTCTTTCAACTCCTTATATTGGAAACTTTGAAAAGAAAATTTCTCTCGCACAATTTATTTCTTTTTAAAGTTATGTATATCACTTTCGGCTCATATCTTATTCTCTTCATATTTTATTTATCAATCAAAACGGTTGAAAGTCGCTCTCTTGATGGAAGTGATAATAATCTTCTCTTTCCTGATAAAGGAAAACCTGCACAACCTTATCTAAGAGAGTTTCCCCCGGATCCATTTTATCCGGATGGCAAGGGGAAAATGTTAAAATCACCTGATAGCTCGATGATCAAATGTACAGATCCTTTGCCGAAAGGAACCTATCCTTCTCCACGTTGTATCTTCAATCAATTTACGTATAATCTGAGTCCTTTGGATGTAGAACGAAAATCAGAACTTCGATCAAAACGAAAAATTAGTCATATGACGACATGGTTTGGACAATATATTTCATTTGATATCAGCGCATCAAGAAATGAAATTTCTTCAACCCCGTTATATATACCCGCTGATGACGCAAATTATAATTCTCCTAATTCAATCCCAATCACAAAGTCACTTCCGTTTAACATAACTGGACCCAATACCTTAGATACTACAGATACATTAAATTCTGTACGTAATGGAGTTGATGTTGTAACCCCGTTTCTTGATTTAAATATGATTTATGGTTTATCTGACGATCAACTTGCAAATTTACGTGATGGAACTAGTTGTAAATTGTTAACAAGTAATAATGGAAAATATCCATCAAAAGATGCTGATGGAGCGTATAAATTGGGAATATCTACAAAACGGGCTTTGACTTTATTCACTTTGGCAATTAATACTGTGTGGATTCGTGAACATAATCATCAATGTGATGAATTATTTAAAGTATATGGTAACTCTTGGAATGATCAACGATATTTTGAAGAAGCTAGACGATGGACCATTGCGTTATACCAAAAGACTGTTTCTGAAGAATATATTGGTGTTATTACTGGACGTCCTCTTCCACCTTATGAAGGATATAAACCAGATATAATTCCTGGCATTGATACTTTTTTTTCCACAGTCACGTTCAGATACGGTCATTCAGAATTAAGGTTAAGTGGTTCATATTTTAAATAGATTATTTTTTTTTTTTTTAGCATGTGGTTATACGTTTTTATTATAATTTTTTTAGTGACACGTATAGAATTCAAGATAAATTTGGTGACACGGTTGTTGATCTGACATTGAGTCAAATAAGAAATCAAAGTCTTTTAGAAACTTTTGGCTTAAATAGTGTTTTACGTTCAATGGCTTTACAGAGACAAGAGGAGATTGACATTTTTTTCAGCGATTCTGTATGAATTACATGTATTCCTTTTTTTGAAAATACGCATTTTTTAAAAAAAGCAAAGGATTAATTTAATTTTTTATTTAATAAAGATAAGGAATTTTATAAGTATAGAACCTAACGTTTACGATTTACCCGCATTTGATATTTTAAGGTCCAGGGATAGAGGTACTGTATATTATGGAATTTTTTTCTTTGAAATTAAAATACTTAATGTATCATTTTTTTAGGCATTGCATTGTATAACACGGTTCGAGAAGCTTATGGATTATCCAGAAAAAATACGTGGAGCGAAGTAACAAGTAATGAATATCTTCAAAATAAATTACAATCGTTATACCCAAATGGTCCTGATACAGCAGAATCATTTGTTGGAGCTTTATGTGAAAATCATTTAGAAGGTTCAAATTTTGGAGAGCTATTAAATAAGAGCATAGTGACACAGGTAATTAAAATGAATATTAAAATTAATTAATTAATTAATTAAAATTAAGTTAAAAAATTTTTTTCTAAAAAAAATATTTTTTTTTATAGTTTAATCGTATTCGAGAAACTGATAGATTTTGGTGGGAATCACCTGAAATGTTTAATGAAAGTGAAAGATCAATTTTAAGAGATACAACTTTTCATGATATTATAGTTCGTAATCTTAAAATTGATGATAATAGTTCTCAATTTATTAGAAATCTTTGGATGGTTCAACCGAATAATGAATTAGTTAGCGAGGATGACAAAGAATTTAAAACTAAAATTGATCCTTGGGCTCTTTATACTATTAGATATCGATTGGATAACACTCATATTCATTTTAAAATTGAGTTTCAAACCGCTGGAGGCGAAGGCTGGTTTGGAATGGTATGCACAAAACGTACAATACTAACGCGATCATATGTATATATTTTAACTTTTTGAATAAATTTTTATTAAGGGATTTGATCCATCAGACACTGGTATGAAAGATGCAGAATTTATTGTAGGAATTGTAAGATCGTTTAAAATTATTTATTAAAGCTATTTTAGCTTATTTATTACATTAAAACTGAAAATTATTATATTATCTTTTTCTTATAGGTCAAAAATCAGAATATAGATCTATCAAATTATGTCGCTGCTAAAGAAGGATATCATCCGCCTACGAAACAAAGTCTAGAAGGTCTTGAAATTAAAAACGGGACCGTTGTTACACCTGATGGTAAAGCAACAGTTATATTTAGTAGACTTTTGGAACCACCAAATCGTAAAAAAATTCGACGTGAACAGATGAAATGTATGTAATATCCAGAAAATAGGAGACTTTATTTTAATCTTGGTCGAAACATTTTTTTTCAGCTTAATCCCAAGCTTTTAATCAAAATTTAACTCTTACAGATATTATGGCGTATAATCCAATGAGTAGCGCATTTGGTTATCATGAGCATAATCGTCAAATGATCCTTATTAACTTCTATACAAATGAAATATCTGCATCATCTGGATTACAAAATACGCGCTTTTTTCATGGATTAGGAATGTTTTTAGCATGGTGGTACGTACAATACGTGCTATACTGTACAATATCAATTAATTATTTTATTTTAACGTTAAAAATTTTATTAGTATGTTATTCCCAACATCAATTTTTATCGTTCGGTTTTTCAAACACACCGATAATTACTTGAAGATTCATCGTTCTATACAACTGCTTGGTAGTGTTTCGGTATCCACATTCGGTGCAGCAGCAATGGCTACTATGGCGAATACCAGATCTCCACACGCATGGTATTATTTAACAAATTATGCTTATTTTATGATAAATGTTTATTAATATTTTTTTTTTTCCTTAAAATATAGGTTAGGATTAATTGTTTATTTCATGGTATTTTTCCAATTAGGTTTGGGATTAACAGCTACATGGGGGCAAGGTACTATTGTTTCGGTTAACCAAGGATATCCAAGATTTTTCAAGAGAGCTCATAAATGTTTTGGAGCTATTTTACTTTTAGCTTCTTGGTGAATTTAATTATTAAGTTTTATAATTTTAATTATTATATAATATAAATTGTTTATTGACATGATTTTTATTCTTTTTAGGGTTAACATATATCTTGGTAAGGATAATAATCTTTTTGTCATTTTCTTTCCACTTGTGCGTGCGTATTCTAATTTTTTAATTTATTTGAAAAAAAAAATAAAGGGATAGATACTTTTACAAAATCGTATAGCTAGTGAGTATTTGTTTTACTTTGAAAAAAAAAAGGAAAAATAATACTAATTAATAATTAATTTTAGCGAATCAAGAATTTGGATTATAGTCTATTTTACATGGACATTCTTGTTAATCATTGTATTTTCTATTGGTGAATATCGATGGAGAAAAGGAGCAATTGATAGATTAGAATTTAATGAAGAAAAAAGGACTGAAGTAGGAGGAAAGAAAATTATATTATTGAATTATATTAGTGATGACATTTATAATAAATTACCAGAATTTACTTGGGAGGAAGTAAACGAACGTGTTCAACGCGGTGTGAGTAATTTTGATCTAGTTACTGAATTTGAAAATTTTTTTTTAAAATTTTTTTTTTTTTCGTAGGCATCCTTGGTTGTATGCGATGGATTAGTCATTGATGTTAGAAAATGGATTAAAGTTCATCCAGGTGGAGCGAAAATTCTTGAGAAAGCTATTGGAACTGATATAACTAATGGTATTATACAAGACATATATTTATTACGATACTTAAAAAAGAAAATAAAGAAATTTTTTTTTTTAATTTTCTTTTTTTTTTCTTTTTAGATTTTTATTGTAAAAATAATAAAAATAATAATGTAATGAATATAGTTGAAGATTTAGAATCGGATTCACATTTGTTATCAAATTATAATACAGATAACAGATCATCAATTATAGGAAAATATGATAGTGTTTTAACAGAAATATCAACAACAGAAAATACAATCAAAAAATTAAAAAAGTGTAGTAATGCTGCCAAAATAATTGATAAGATTAATTTAAAATATTTTTCAAAATCATCATTAACTACTATTCATTCACATAGTATATACGCAACAAAAAAGATGTTAGATTTAGTTATAGGTAAAATGAATGAAAATTTTCTTTTAAAGGATCAAATAGAAAATTCATTATCATTTGAATCAAAAACTATTAATGATGAAAATAATAATAATATTATGACTCATAATGAATTTACTCAAAGAATCAAATTTAGAAGATATAAATTAACTAGTAAATCAGCTATTAATTCAAGTAAAAGTTGTCCCGTAATTAAATTTACTTTTACTAAAGTTCATGATGATGATGTATGGGATGAAAGATTTTTACCTGGACATTATATTGAAGTAAAATCTCGTATTAAAGGACAAATTGTTATTAGAGGTTATACTCCTATTGAAGGGAAAATGTCAAAATCATTCTCAATATACGTTAAAGTTTATCCTAATGGATTAATGTCTACACACTTGGTAATTTTTTTTAAACATAATGTGGATAATGTGGTTAAAAATCTTAAATAATTTATTTATTTTTTTTTTTATAGAACGAACAATTAATAGGATTTGATATTCAAGTTCGTGGACCATTTGATATTTCAGATAGAATTGGACTTATAAGCGCTTCAAGCCCAGGAGAAAAATTAAGTACACCAATATTAAGAAAGAGAGGTTCGACTGTACTCTCCTCCCCAACTTCTCTAATGTCATTTACAACAAAAAGTTCTTTACTTAACCCAAATAGTTCGGATGGATGTTGGGAAGAATTATTTATGATTTGTTGGGGAACTGGCATAACACCAATGTTACAGGTATATAATTTTTGAAACTTTTTTAAGTTATATTACATACACATGTATATTTAATTACTTATTTATTAATATTTTGTAGTTGATTAAATATCATCTTATACATATTAGTAAAAGTCATGATTATGGACAAAGAGATAGAAAAATTAATATGTATTTGTTATTTGGTAATAAACGTATCGAAGATATTATTGATGGTATAAGATTAGAAGAGTACGCATTATTAAGTAGAGGAATGCTTACGGTTAATTTTATACTCTTGGAACCTCCTAAAAATTGGACGGATTTAGAAGGAACGATCACGCCATCTATATTAAAAAATTGGCTTAAAGTTACTACATCTACATCAACTACATCACATGATAAAGAATACGATATACCTAGACCTCCAACAAAAATTGACAATATCAATATCAATTCATCTAATTCATCTCAAATAAATTCATCACAACCACCATCATCATCATTATCACAACAAAATTTTATTGAAATAATTGATGATTCAATATATGAAAGTCCAACTGAAATTCATCAAAATATACGATCAACACCTATTTCCCAATATCGTCCATTAAATTATCAACAAAACAAACATGGTGAAAAAATATCTATAACTATTCCAACTATTCCTGAAGAATACGTGAAAAAGTTCCAATCTAAGATTGTAGTGTGTGGTCCAATAGAAATGATGATGACCGTTGAACAAACGTTAATAGAAATGGGTTACCATTCTCAACAAGATTATATTATATTAGTATAGAATAATTAATTAATTAATTAATAATGAACATTTAATTTAGTATTTGACAATTTTTTTTCAGATCAAAATAATTGCATCACAAAATATCACAAATAAGAATTTTATTTTCATCTTTAAATAATTTAACGTACTATGTGTACATCATGGACAATCGTATTTAACAATTTTTTTAAGATTAAAATAATTAAAATAATTGCATCACAAATATCTCAAATTTTCATCTTAAATAATTCAACGAAAAATTTTACCCCATATTGAAGGATATCTATTAAGACTTATATATTCGATCCTTGAGGTCGAAAAGTACCAAATCGGGCATTTTTTGCCGTAAATCTAAATCATTATTGATTTCGACCTTCGCTGTTAGATCCTTGTGGATCGGTAGCAGATCGCAGAGACATTGTATTATGATCATCCATCTTTCTTTCATGACCTTATATTAAATAGATGATGGTCAACCACGAATTTCACTTATATCACAAGTACAATAAAACAATAAATGGAATCTATAAAATAGTAAGAAAAAAAAGTCGTTAGTATGGCTGGTACCAGGTGGAAGAACCACCACCATACGCGTAAAAAAAAAGTCTCCAGAAAGGTGATGGTATCATACTACTCAAGTGGAGACCCTAGAACTTGCACAATAAAGATTTTTTTTTTGTTTTTTTTTGTTAAATTTTTTTTTTCTTTTTTTTTCATTTCTTTTCATTTCTTTTTACTTTTTTTTCTATTTTTTTTTTTCTTTATTTTTTCATTTTCATTTTCATTTTTTTTTTTATATTAAGAAACTGAAAAAGGGAAGATTTTTTTTTAAACCCCTACTGTTATAGTCCTTTGGGATACCATTGACAATATGACACCATGCATACGAGCCAGGTGCATAGGCTAACCTCCTCCAGGAAAGCCAGTTTCTCATATATACTCCCCTTCAACTTTTTTTATCTGTAAGCCTGTATCATTAAAACTATGCAAGCAGGGAGCGCATGCTTACCTTAATATAGGTCTACCGTAAATCTTAATTCGTAAATACAAATTACATTCTTTCATCTTCGGTAGAAAATTCAAGATTTCTTGCCTGGAAATAAAAAAATAAAAAAGAAAATTTCATATTAATATATTTTTTCATAAAATAATAAACGTATTTTTTCTAATATTGAAAAACAAAAGAAGACCTAAGAACCTATCTGATAAAAGATATTCTTGGTTTACTGACGAGTTACTTATCAAAGAGAGAGTTCGTAAAAAGGAAAAATTTCATATTGAATGTATTTTTCCATAAAGTACGAGTTTAATTTCTCTGAGTTCGGTGAGTTCGGTGAGTTCGTTATATGAAATATATTTATTTGAAGTTTTTGATAAAAAAATGAAAAATAAAAGTATTGAGAGAATATATTTTCCATAAAAGTACGGAATATATTCCTCTGAGTGAGTTTGTTATATGAATATGTTTATTTGAAAAAATGAAAAACGAATTTCTCTGAGTGAGTGACTGAGTTATATGAATATGTTAATTTGAAGTTTTTGAAAAAAAAAAATGAAAAATGAAGTAATGAGAAATTTTGAGGGAGTTTGGGGGTATATTTATATGGGAACTTCGATGTCAAAATTTACAAGATCAAGATTTGTTTATATATTTTACTATATTGACTCATAAAATCTTGAATCTTGATAAAAAAAAATCTCTTTTTTTAAAAAAAAGTAAAAAAAAAGTAAAAAAAAGTTTAATATTCGGGAGTCATTACTAATATTAATAGGGGTATATTGATCGTGATTTATCACATCGATCGATTCCTAAACTAGTAATATGAATCCTTTTAACTTCCAAACTACCATCAAATTAAAAAAACTTTTTTATTTATAAATTGCGTAATATCAGTAATATTACTACAGAATCTAAATTAACCTTTCAGTTATAGTATTACAAGATCCTACTTCTGATAGAGATTTATAGTAAATGTAAGATAAAATTTATAATTACAGTATGTAAAAAAAATCTTTAAAAAAATGTAAAAAAAAGTTTAATATTGAAAGTCCTCATGACTAAATTTAGGGGAATATCGATGGTGAGTCACATTTATCACATCGGTCGATCTAATGTATTAGATCTGGAAACTAATAACATGAAACTTTTTATTAAACTACCAAACTACCATCAAATTAAAAAAAGATTTTTTTATTTATGAATTGCGTAATATCACTACAGAATCTTTTCTCCTAATTAATCAGTTACAAGATTTAGTTTCATAAAGAAAATAAAATCTTTAATCTCGATAAAAAAAAAATCTGATCTTGATAAAAAAAATGTAAAAAAATGTAAAAAAAAAGTTTAATATTGAAAGTCCTCATGACTAAATTTAGGGGTATATCGATGGTGAGTTACATTTTTCACATCAATCAATTTCTAATTTTCTATATATTAGATCTGGAAACTAGTAATGTGAATCCTTTTAACTTCATTGCAGGATCTTAAAATATTATATCATTAATCAGTTACAAAATTAATCATGTAAGAAAAAAGGAAATAATCACAAATAATAAATTATTCAACACTAATTCAACACGAAATATGCTTGATACTTTAAGAATGTTAAGTATGAACTTTTCAGGTTTCTTTTTTATGATGTGTCAGTTACTCACCAAGCCTCCTTGTTAAGCTTTCAATGCTTTCCTTATTAGAAAGATCTATAACCTCGCATACTAAGAAAGCAATACCTGTAGCGTATACGCTTTTGGCGCTTCATGAAAGAATGATCATAATTAATTACAAAGAAGCATACAAATCACTAGAAACCAGGTGACAACTTCAAAAATCAATTTTGTGCACACGCCCAATCTCAATATTAAAATATAATAAATACAATATATTGTTATAATATTATTATATCAAAACTTTATTAATTACATTATTATAGAATTTTAATTATCTACTATCATATCATATCCAGATATACTTTTAAAAGCTGGAAATTGATCATCAATACTTGAAAATGATACGTGTAACTTATTATTGGACGACAACATCGACGTTTCAGTAACCTTATCAATAACATTATCAAAAGCAATCCAATTAAAATAAATTTTAGATTCATCTATATCACACAAATTTGCCCAACCTTCCTTGTCAAAATAATTCATAACTTTTCTTTCATCGATCTTATCCATAGCAATTTGAAATACTAGTAATATTTTATCCTCACAATCCCAGATAAGAAAATCCATACCAGGGTATTTGGTATATTCTGGAATAAAGAGAACATTATTGTACTCATTAAAATCTTTGATAGAAAATATGTCATTATCAACAATCCTAATGACTTCATCAAAATTAACATTTTTATCAAATATATTTAAACTTGGAATTCCAAATTGCCTAAATTAATAGTGTTTATATATTAGCTTATTTGATCATGATCAAAGATATAATGAAATTCGAATTATAAAAATGAAAGGATCATTGGGATTTAAATATCAAATTTCATATAATCAGAAAGTAGGCGATATGTAATTAGTTTCACTTACCAACATGTGAATTCAAATGTTCTCACAGTATCTAATAATGTTGTAATATACGATGCAGAAATCCTTTCCAAAGCATAAATTGTGTATTCAACATTTTGTAGAGCCTTTGATGCAGCATCATCAATTAGATCATCAATTTGACCATGAGCACGAGCGATGGTTAATCTAGCGCAAGGGTGGATAGCAAGAACTGTTTCAGTTTCAAATTCTTCATTTTCATCCAGAAATGAAACAGAACCAACACGCATAAATCGGTGATCCATATCATATATTTTACTGGCAGGGGGTTCAATTTGGAGAATCATGGAAACAACACATGCATTTAAATTTTCTACTCTCTCATATGATAAATTATCTCGATAAATTTGATAATCTCTTTTTATTTCACTTTCTCGTAATCCCAAATAATTTTCAGTTTTTTCCTGCAAATTTCCTGCTGGTGTTTCATGCCACTTGTCTAATTCTGAAGGATAGGCGCCCGTCCAATATTTCACATAATCCAACTGTGCCATATCGTTATAACCACGCAATTTGCACCATTGATTGAACTCATCGTCATCATAACCGTCGAATAGACCCAACTTATCCCATGATTTAAACAGGCATACATCATTGTTAGAAGTTTCTGAAACGATAATAAGACCATCATTCTTTAGAATTCCAGAAAGACCATTTACCAATACGAATGGATATTCATTAAGAACCTCGTATTTGTACAAGGAATTACATTGATCAAAGACCCAGATCCAGTAATAATCATTTTTAACAAAGTTTACCAATTCCTTGAGACATAAATGAAATCGTTCTTTCCTAATGAAAAGAAGAATCAGTGATATGATTTACAAATATCGTATATCGTGTAAAAAAATTAACAAATATCAGAGTAAATTACCTAGTATTTGTCTCGGGTTGTTTAAGATGTTCAATGATTCTATTAACCCTGGAATTATGTAATAAACTTTTATCACACAACTTGTTACGTACGTTATTTGTTAATCCATACATCACAAGTTCAACCCAATCAGTTATGGTAAGCGGGGTTAATTCATCTTTGTTGAAAGTACATAAAAATTCGTTTAATAGGTATTGATAAGGTTCAATTTGATGAGATGACCACCACTCTTCACAATTATTAATATACGTTACTCTATAATCATGTTGTAAACGAAGTTCTGAAACAAGATAATACAAGCTGTACGACTTTCCCAAACCAGAAGGACCATAAATATGTAGACCTCTAGAACTATTTTCTTCATTGAGTGCTTTCATTATAGCATTATAGATTTGATCATGATGATTTCTACGTATTAAAGATAATTTACCATTCACAAAATGGAAACTATCTTGAAGTTTATTTGGACTCAACCTTGGTAGATCGACAACATCATAAAGATCTTCCATAATTTCAAGAAGTATTTTATCTGTTTCTCTTGCTTGTTGAACAAGTGCGACAAATGGGTCTAATTGATCTTCAAGTTCATTAACCTTCACTTTTTTTCTACTAGGATATATGATGGGTACAATTGACATGAAGGCTCTTTCTTTACCCTTCGTACTTAAAAAAGAAGAAGAAGAAGCAGCAGCAAAACTTGAAGAAGAACTAGCTATTTTTTAATCATAAAAAGTTAGAATTGATTTTTTCATAATGCAACAATGTTTTTTCTTAAAATTACCAAATGATGGTCCTGCCAAAGAAGGTCGCTTTGTTCTCTCCGTTATTTGTCCAGAGAATTCTTCCATATTTTCAACCTTTCTTTTATGTGCACCATTTGATTTTACACCACCCGATGACATGGTGTCCATAAAATCTATGATATCATTAAAATATGTTAAATACATATTTTAAAAAAAAAATTTAATAATTTTCCAATATTTAATCAAATCTTTTTGAAATATTTTTAAAGTATAAATTATGACTTACTTCATGTTCATCATAACTCAAAATTTGTCGTATACGATAGTTTACGATCGTATACGTGATCTTTGATTAGTTATTATTCCGAATTGTTTAAAACCATCATTTTTTTTAAAAAAAATTACGTACGTCACTGAAACAAATTAATTTTAAATGAGGTAACAAATTTCTTTATTTAGAAATGTTTCTTTACCTAATACACTTTAGTCTTTTATATGTAAATCCTACATCATTAACTATTTTTGAATTAATCTGGGAAAGAAAATAATGATCGACACATTAAATTGTTGAGTTAACTTTATTTACAATTTTCTGGTGAAACACTGAAACACATTTGAAACCGATTAAAAAAGAAGCACAAACTTCGCCACAATGCCTGAATGCCACCGCAGATCACTGCAGATCAAAGCAGTTCAAACAACTCGATGCGTGTTACACAAGTTATATTGAAGAAAAACATATACCTTTTTCTATATTACAAGAAAAAATATTTGTAAGAAAAGATTCCACTGCGGTTTTGATTAATGAATGGAATAATTTTGATAAGAAATTATTACTAATCAAAAGTCTCCCCCCTTTTTTTTCTTTGACAATTATTAATATTATTTTCGTTAGGATAACAAAAAAAAATTTTTTTTTTTTTTTTTTTTTGAATTAATAAAAATATAAATTTAAAATATGTCATCGTATATGCAGTTGATCCTCATAACATTAATTTTATTGGTTGATTTTTTTTCGCGTATAATTTACGTAGAGTATATTAATAATGATGGCTGTGGGCCTGTGGCTGTGCGAGAATTAGCTGCTTAATGGCTGTGCAAGAATTATCAACTTGACGGCTGTGTAAGAATTATTCGACTTGACGGCTGTGTAAAAATTATTCGATTTGGCGGTTGCGCAAGAATTATCTACCATACAAGGATTATCGACTCAAGAATCAATTGCTGTAAAAGAATTGACAAAGACTAATCTAGTTTCGTTCTAACGATAATCTCTCTGCTTGCGTAATCTCCCGCAGTCAAGGAAAAAATTAGGCACGAAAAATAGAATATCATTATTAAATAAATTTATTTATTTAATTATCATGACAATGACTTTCTGCTTTTAGAAAATAATTGTTTTTTTAATATAAATACCCAAAATACCCAACGAATACAGTTTTATAATAAACTACTTACTCAAATCGGTCAATTATAATAAAGATAATATATATAAAGATAATATATATAAATAAATAAATATATATATTATATTTTTATATCACAATATTTCACATATTTAAATAATTCAATTTATCATAATTGCATAATTGAAATATCGAATAAAGAAAAAAAAATTTCGGAATTCAAAAATCATACTTTTTAGAAATTAGAAATTTCTAAAATGTGTCAGAATAATTTTTTTCAATTGAATGTAAAGTAATACAACTAAAATTTTTTATATTGTTCTTATTGAATTAAATAAATAACTCGTGAATTTAGGGAGAAATCGGTGAAAAAAAGTGTGGGGTAACTTGTGGCTACCTTACTTTGTAATTCGAGTTTGGTTTAATTATGTTATTTGGGTTTAAATTATTTTTTTTTTTATTTATGAAATTTTTTTCCAAATGAAACGTAATAAAAAAATCTTTAAAATCTTTATTAGGGAATAATAAATAATCTAAATAATAATCGTGAACAAAGAAATAATTTATTTATATTTTAATTTAATTTTTTTTTTTCCTTCTCCTCATTTCTCCCGATCTTATTCTCTTATCAAAAACGCCCGATTAACAACTTGGTATATGTTGGAGGTTTTCATTATTTGACCGGAATTGTCGATATCTTTAATATGTTTCAAGCCCTTTGAACATATTTCGTTAAATTCATTTTAAAAGAATATTAAATTCTATTTATTATTTTTTTACGTTATCGCAAAAAGTTTCACATCACAAGTTTATTTAAAAGGAAATTATAACTAGTTCACATGACATGGCTAAAAACACGCGCTTTGGTTTAATTATTACGTAGGAAAAAGTTCTTTTCGTTATGTAGTGCAAAAGACACAACATATTTGTTATATCAATTATGATAATCTAACTTTATAAAAAAGAAAATATTTTTTTTTTTTAACCTTATCTAATTTTTCCTTTATAAAAAATTAGAATTGATCTTTTGTTTCATGATACCGTTTTGACTTCATTATAACAATAATAATAATATTTATGCAATTAATAAAAACTTATTCGTAAAAATGAAACATTATTGCCAAGAACTTTAAATAATTTACTCCAATCATTTGACACTCCCGCAGTTATTCAAAGGTACAAAAACTCAATCGCGTTACCTTAGCAGTTTTAGGGGATTTTCCTATAACTATATTATACCAATTGAAAATCACTCTTTTTTTAATAATTAATAAAACCGGTTATAAAATTATGCCGAATATCAAATACGAACTTTACTAATTTTGGTATTCAAAATTCACATTTTTATAAAAAAAGGTTAATAAGAACTTTTTTGTGTGAGAAAACTGAGGAACTTTGGAAGTTACAGAAGTTACAAGAAAAAAAAAAAAAAAAAAATTTTTTTTTTCTTTTTTTTTTCCTTCTTTTTTCCTTTTTTTTTTTTTTTACAAATTATTAAATAACTATAAATATTATATCATAATAAAGTTTTTTTTTTTATTAAGATTATCTTGATTCAAATATTATTTCAAATTTATCACGCGACCCGTTCAAATGTAAAATTAATTGGACATAATTATTTGAACCCTTTTTTTTTTTCTTTGTGTGTCAAAAACCCTTTGTGTTTGAT